GCGGCTGCTCTCCTGTGAGGTCAATATTGACTCAGGGATCTGAGCACAGCCACTTTTGTCTAAAGCACAAGATGAGATATACCTGCTGTCTCTATGACATCACACAAACATGCACATTTAAACAAGTTAATAATGCTTTTTCTGGAATTTGATACACACGTAATCCATTATCATTATTATCAATTTAGTAGTTTGTTTATTCACAATAATAGCTTGTTTTTTAGTTCATATGAGACTAAACAGCAATAATAACATAAGTAGGATCAAAGCTGTGGGCAGGCCTAGCCAGTAGATAATAACCAGTCATATGTTCCTTTCAAAAATATAAAAAATACCTTCCCAAAATGGAGTCAGATATATAAATATTTAAAATAATGTAAAAGAGATATTTATCCAAATTAACTGGTTTCCTCTGGTTATTGATTATTTAGAGACAGAGATAGATTTGCATGGCCCTGGCATTCACCTTGAATCCATACCAGTGCTTCAGTTTGCATAGCAGTGCAGTTGTGACAATGGAGACAGACCGGGTTTTGTTCTTTTGAGAACAGCAAAAGATGAACAACCAAGCAGGAAATCATGAATGAGCATGTTCACTTCTTTTTCTATTCTTTTTTTGTGTGTTGGTAAATAGTGCTGCTGAGTCCAGGGCAGATGTGTGGTTATTCTGTGGGTCTTGGTCTTAAAAGTTTAGAAACCCCTTAACTAGCACCAGGAATGTTCCAGTGATTTGACCTTGGTCCATGTTTTATAGACAGATATTAACATATGACCTGATTCTGTTACCCTTGTCAAACTCCCAGTACAGATAATTGTGTTTACCATAATATCCATATCGTATGACCCTGTATCGCTCAGAAAAAAACAGTGCCAGGTCTTTGTTGGGTGTGTCCAATGCAGCGTCATAAATCTGATGGGCCAAAGATTGTTCACCGAACACACATGGAGCTGGTGACAAACCACTCTTCCTTTGCTACCACTGAAATAAATAAGACTCAAATGTCCTTATCCAATATTTACCTTATCTTACCTTGAACATACCCATCTAAAATAGGAAACATTGTGGTTGTAATATGTTGAAGAATGGTCTGATGCAATTTAGGGTTTTGTGTCCATAACCTGTTATAGACTATGATCTAGGGCAGGAAATCAATATCATAACAATAATGTTGAGCATTTGTGGCTATTCTTAGTTGAAATCTGAAGTGTGAAATATAAACCCTAAAGGTGAATAGCAGGATAGCAGAAACGACTCCAGGGACCTTTCTATAGCTACCTATGAATACATAATCTTACCTGATGTTGTTCATTTATGATTAAACACACATTAGTGATTAAAGAGTTTATTTTCAGTAGTCCTCTATCTCTTATAGGTTTCAGGGCTCAATCGTTGATTCTCTGATCTTTTGATGGCAATGCGACTACTTTGTAAAGTCCTCCGAGACAACTGCTGCCATGATACAGGGCCATTAAAAAATTATTTGAATTGTAACCAATTTTAAGACTAATATGAAGGAGATGGCTTTCTTTAAAGAGCCTTGTATGCAGTCAAACCGTACACATAACTCACATACAGTATTATACACCACGAATGGTATCAAAAAGTACACAGGTTAAACATTTCTCCATCATGACAATTTTGGGGAAGTTTTTGTTTTTTTTTGCATATTTTTGGACAGCAGAGGCATTCAAAACAGTCAGACATTTGTTTCTTGGCCATAAATGTCTCTGCATTTGGATAGAACTTTGTGTATGTAAACATAGAGGGTTTCCTGTTCAACTCAGTGCTATTATCCCTATTGTCATTACAATATGTTGAATAAAAAAAATACTGTTATTTAGACATCAACGCTTTAAAGACGCTTCACTACTCATGCTTTTCTTTTCTCCAGTCTGCTCAATTAGAGATTCAGAAGTAATTACCTGCCTGGCTTCCTCCGCAATTAAGGGTTGGTTCACAGCGGCCTGCTTAATGCACAGGCATGCGCCCAGGCCATTAGCCAGAGCTATGAGAGGTGCAACACAGGGCACTGACCAGAGCAATATATAATATGTAAGAGCAGCAACAGAGTGTCAGACAATGCAGCAGAAGAGACAAATTCAACTTTTACTGATTAAGTAAGGATTGAACAGATCTGTTTGTCAATTACAATAGAATGCATTGTTACTAGTTATAGGAGCCTTTAGTTGTAAGTGCAGAGTTCTTCTTTAAAGATTAATAATTTCTTTATTTGTCCCACGGTGGGGAACTTCACTTTCAAACCAAAACAAGCTCTCAAAACAGTTTTAGCACTAGTTTTCACATACATGTAGCCTCAGGGCTTTTGCAAAATATAGCATGTGCTCTAATATTATGCAGCGATCATGTTGTGGTCGAATTTGTTCATTTTACTTATATTTTTACAAATCTTTTGATCAGTTTGGACTAGCAAAATGTGTTATTAATGAAATAGAAATTGAGGCAGCCCAGCTTCAAGTATAATTGACATGTTTCCACATGCCTTTTAAGAGCCAGACTAAGGCCTCAGTCTGGCTCTTAAAAGGCTTCCGTCAGGAGTTGTGTTTTTGTTGATTTTGAACTCTAGATGACTGATTGTTCTATTGAACAATAACTGAATTTAAATGGAGTATCATAATTCTATGACATATTCATGTTGATCATAAAGTAACAGCTAACACAACACAGAGACAGTAGCTACAATGACCTTTAGTGCCAAGATTATTTCTTTTCTGTCAGCATTTTATTTGCCTGCTTTGACAGATGCAGTAGCAGGTTATCTCCTCGCATCCAGGTATATATGCTCGTTTTATTTCTTTTTTTCTCCCAACAGTTAATGTGTAACTTGCTGTGAAAGGATTCAGCACATTTCCTTTTAGTTCATACACCAATCGATGTTGGTGTGGCTTGACTTAGAGGAAGCAAAAAGGGATCAATGTCAAGTCAAATATTGAAAAGATAACACACATAATAATGCTTGTTTTATTCAACTTTCTAATTGGAATTACTCTTAAGATTGTAATATGATGTATTATCATATTTACAGTATAGGTATTTTTGCATTTACATACATCTACAGTAAATACACAATTATGTATTAGTCAAAAGAAAGATTTTAGCCATTGTCATTTCCATATACAGTGTGATTCAACATTTTCTGTTGTTGCGCTTTTTAACTTGTGAGTGATCAGCCTAGAGATGGATGCAGTACTTGGAAGAACGTTGAATAGATGCATGAATGTTATAAATGTTGGACCCCATGTATAAACGTTACAAAGCTTCCTATAGTATTTCTATCATACTGTCACAAATATTGTATTCTGCAACCTGTCATGTTATTTGAATTCAATTTGATGTTAATCAAATTGAAATAGAATAGAGGGGTTAGAATTAGTACACCAATATTGTTTTTAAGATTGTGGTTGCCCAAAACAAGGAGAAAGTTTTGTAATAGTTTGTATTAAGACTCACCGTAGTAGTAGTAGTAGTAGTAGTAGTAGCAGTAGTAGTAGCAGCAGTAGTAGTAGTAGTAGTAGTAGTAGTAGAAGTAGTAGTAGTAGTAGTAGTAGTAGTAGTAGTAGTAGTAGTAGTAGTAGTAGTAGTAGTAGTAGTAGTAGTAGTAGTAGTAGTAGTAGTAGTAGTAGTAGTAGGAGTAGTAGTAGTAGTAGTAGTAGTAGTAGTAGTAGTAGTAGTAGTAGTAGTAGTAGTAGTAGTAGTAGTAGCAGTAGTAGTAGTAGAGGTAGTAGTAGTAGTAGTAGTAGTAGCAGTAGTAGTAGTAGTAGTAGCAGTAGTAGTAGACGTAGTAGTAGACGTAGTAGTAGGAGTAGTAGTAGTAGTAGTAGTAGTAGTAGTATAGTAGTAGTAGTAGTGGTAGTAGTAGTGTGGTAGCAGTAGTAGTAGTAGTAGTAGACGTAGTAGTAGTAGTAGTAGTAGTAGCAGTAGTAGTAGTAGCAGTAGTAGTAGTAGCAGTAGTAGTAGTAGTAGTAGAAGTAGTAGTAGTAGTAGTAGTAGTAGTAGTAGTAGTAGTAGTAGTAGTAGTAGTAGAAGTAGTAGTAGTAGTAGTAGTAGTAGCAGTAGTAGTAGTAGTAGTTGTTGTAGTAGTGGTAGTAGTAGTAGTAGTAGTAGTAGTGGTAGTAGTAGTTGTAGTAGTAGAAGTAGTAGTAGTAGTAGTAGTAGTAGTAGTAGTAGTAGTAGTAGTAGTAGTAGACGTAGTAGTAGCAGTAGTAGTAGTAGTAGCAGTAGTAGCAGTAGTAGTAGTAGTAGTAGTAGTAGTAGACGTAGTAGTAGTAGTAGTAGTAGCAGTAGTAGTAGAAGTAGTAGACGTAGTAGTAGCAGTAGTAGTAGTAGTAGTAGTAGAAGTAGTAGTAGTAGTAGTAGCACCAATTATATGGTAAAGGTTATATTAGGGCATTCTTCTGCAAAAGTTGAGAAGAGATATGATAGTCTATATATATATGATATTATATATTATCAAATATCTTGCATCTCTCAGGCTTTGGCAGGTGAACAAACCGTATTACTTTTAATCTGTAAATAATTGAACGCTGAGGTAGACTGTCAAAAGTCACTGTCCATAGACCCACACGGAGAGGCCCCCCCCCACCTCTGTGCACCATTGGACTCTGGCCCTGCTTCTCCACGCTTCTCTGCTCATCCTTAAAATTAATTCATCCGCACATCTCAGTTCCTCTAACTCCACATTAACCCTGACCACAAGAGGCATCCTCATGGAAAAAATGTCACTTCGACCCTTGACACCAGGTCCTCTTCATTGCTTCTTTCCCACCATGACTGTCTCGAGAAATGCCATTGAAAGGAGAACTTTATCAATTTGTACACAACGTAAATTCTATTGTCACTGTGCGGTTAAATCAATGGTGAGCACTTAATGGGCGTGTGTGTTTGTGTGCAGACATCGCCTCAGAGAGTCACGCCACACTGACTGCTTTCTGGAGGACAACGGGTTCTCAATTGTGGCCCATTAGTTTGGGGCCGGGCTCAGTCATGCAGAGTGCGTTTGAACACGGGGGGACGCGGTGGTGTCAATGTCCCGGACCTGTATGACTGCTTCGGCCAGTGACCCCTCCGCAACCCTGGTGAGCGTACACACCACACACCTTACCTCTCCCCAAGGCCTGTTCACCTGTGTGCACTATGCCACCATAAAACAATACTATCATAAAAGAGGAGCTCAAACAAATCAGTACGTTTGTGGCTCTGTTACAGTCCACTGATCATACGTTTGGAGTTTGGATCAATGAGAATTTTGTTTTGGGCCTTGAAATGTCGACCAGAGTCACACTGCAGAGGTCACAGTGGAGGTGGACTTTTTGTTGAGTTGAAATCGAGAACAGGAATAAGTTTGGTAGATGGCTTGGCTTGATTGCTGCCATAACTTTTCATAAATCAAACATGCTATTTGCTCCTACAGAAAGTTTTTTAAAGAGTGAATAATAAGTTAACTCATTGACTGCCATTGACGTATTTGTCTGAGACTAGTGATTTCTGTCAAACTTCCCTCTATTCCACTGGGGATTACAGGAGAACAAAAATAGCTAAAAACAAATTTATTTTCCTCTGATGAAAGTAGACAAACCAATCTTTCAGAATCTGGTTTCATATTTCACATAGTAATAGCACATAACATTCTGTGGAGAATCAGTGAAATCATCAAAAACGGCTGACAGTCAATGAGTTAATAACCAGGAGGCTGGTCAGATGGACATTATTGCATTGTTCCATTTTTTGTGTTTTGAAAGTTAGGCGCAACTTAGGCGTTAAGAGCCTCAAACAAAAGTCTTAAAAGTGTCTCTGAGTTAGTTTTAGTTTGATTTAAATTAGACAAGATAAAACATCTCTGGATGACATTCACAACAATACAGTCCATACAACAGGGCAGGGAGGGTGAACATACCATATAACGTGTTGCCTTGTTATTTCATTTGATTTTAAATAAAAACTGCTTTATTGAAATGTCTAGCAAAGTTCATACAATTATTTAGTATTTTATTTATGTAGTAGCAAAAAGTTAAGGTCAGAAAAGGTCATTTTCTGCTTCTACTGCCCCCATGTGGCTATGCTATGATAGATCAAATATACTGTTCTCTTTTTCATGTCTTTTCCTGTGAAAGTATTTGTACAGTTACACATGACTCACGCCGCTTTAGCGGACAGTGGATATTTGTGTTGTGCAGTGAGCCAAAGTCGCTCCCCTGCAGCCAGTCACTGGTCCTTATAAAGAGTTGACCTGTTTTATGGCCTTATTGCCCAACATCACATGCCTTTAGTCCCGGGATATGATCTCAGATAAGGCAAGAAAGCGCAGAAACACTCTTCTTATTCCTCAGAGCGACTCATCCAGGTGGGATGAAAGTAAGACTCAATTATAAAAGCAATGATGGATTTCAAATTTTAGGTCACACCTTAAATAAAATAATTAAATCATGGTGCAAGTTGTGATTTCAAACAATGCCACTTAATATTCCAAAACAGAGTGACCTCATTACATTGAAGTTTTATAAATCAAGTCTTTGTGATAAGATGATTACCTTATCCTTGAAAGCCGCGCTCAGACATGGCAGTAAAGGCACAGGATTATGAGGTGATGGTCCATAAAGGGTTTGGCTCTGATAAGGCCTTTTGAGACTGGACCAGTAACAGGGAAGCACCAACCAATGATACCAATGCAACAATAATGTTACATGTTACTGTTTTCACCTTAACATAATGTATTTACATTAATAAATATGAATCTAGTCTAATAGTAATCGATATGAAAAATATAAACCTTAAGATCAGAAAGTGGGCAGAAAAGGCCATAGGTACTTCACCTCATGCAGCTGGAGATCTGGAAGTATTTCCTTTTTCAACCTTTCCTTCTTTCTGATAGCAATGATTAATAAATATAGACACAACACTTTTGTATGTGTTTTTGAAATCATTCCATCCAGGGTGGAAAGGTAGCTGTTGTTCTGCTAAAACTATTTAACCAACGGTCACAGGGAAATGTTCCTTTTCTAATGTCCGCAATAGGCCATTATGAACCTAATGGCATATTAGTGATTCCACACCTGGGGTAAAACTACAGACTTCCCGCAGGGTAGAGCAGGTTCACGACAGACATCTATCCAAGGGAAGTCATTAGAACAAACTGCTCCTGCAGCCAGTCGCCTTGGGCTGCCCTATACAAGGACAAATATATTGCAAACCTAAAGAAAAATACATAATATACTATATACAGCCTAATAACGTAGAGATATACAGTAAATGATACTTTTTGACTGTGCGCTCCAAACAGTCCTCTAGTGGTCTGTTGTGGGATGTCCCTGAAATGTGGGAAGATTACATGGGCGTGAAAGCTAGATATAGATTGTGTATTATTCATTCTAGTTTATGCTTCTTTGGAAAAATACCAAAAGCGCTCAATTATACAAGGATCATCTCCGATCAATATATGATAGGCCAACATAAACTAGACTAATTCAATCTTAATGTATGTTTTTCTGTGTTTTTGTCAAAGTTTAAATAGCACAAAGTTAGATTAACACGAATGCCTCCACATGTAGTGTTATTAATAAAATGCGGTAAATAGGCTTAGACATAAATTGCTCTTAACCTTTCTGCTCTGTTATTATCGGTGAGAGTAGGCAACAAGCGTCACAGCACAAAGTACTTCATCCATTCCAGCCTCATTCATTTTGTAATTTTCAAAGGCCACATTAGATTGCTGTGCCATGGGGGATATTGGGAAAACTAACCATTGTGGACTCATGGAAATGGCTTTTCTCCTAGTATTCTTATGAATTTGAATATTGAAGCACAGCCTGTCCCTTTTTGCCAACACATACAGCATGACTCATCTTGTCCTTGATTTGAAGTGAGGTCTTCATTCATTCATGGAGTATTTTTAGCCACGCTTAAATTACTGTTATTTTGTTTTCGAACGGGGTTCAACACTGCAACAACCTGATGATAGATTACTGAAATGGACATTTTTCAGGGTAGCACACAGTGATTGGATATGCTCAAATTTGGTTGGTTTGTTCACTGCAGAATTCCATTTCAGTTGAAGGGCGGGTGCCAATTCATCTTCATGGGAAACCATTTTAAGAAATTTTAAAAACTGTCCAAAGGTTTTCCCAGATCCCTATTTGTTTAAGATTCACAAACCTGCCATATTATTCTTATGTTAGAAAGTAATTTCTAATGGTCAACAAGCATATGTTATTTTAAATATTGTCACCAGTCATATAATGACCAATTTTCAAGGCCATTATATGTAATAACACAGAAGATGTAGAGCTTGGTGTGAGTTTTGTTTCAGATAGACTGGCCTAGACATTTGTTCTAAGTCTTAAAGTTTAATTTTTGGCACTGATCACACAACAATATTTTAACTCTCATTTCAACTTTTGTACCATCAACAACCTAAATCTGTGGTTGAAAACTGTTTTAACTTATGTCTGACTGGATTGTAGAATAGATTTAGAATAAGACTGAGAAAGCCTGATCAGTATGATGAGATAAATCCACAGTACAGGAAGTAAAACATATTACTGTAAGGGCTTTGATGCATGCCTTGTTTGCACTGAATGAACAGCAGGAAGAAATTATTTTACATATTAGTAAGTAAGTAAGTAAGTAAGTTTTTATTTATATACCGCCTTTTCACTGCAGATCTGAGTCTCAAAGCGGTTTACAATTGTTAATTATGGGCATTTGTCTCTCACTCCACACAGAGATGGGAGCGGGGTCGCCAGTACAGGAGGCGCATGCCAGAACTATTGGACATATTTTTAGTGGTAGGGGAAACCAGAGTACCCGGAGGAAACCTACGCAGACACGGGGAGAACATGCAAACTCCACTCAGAAAGGCCCTGGTCCGACCGGGATTTGAACCCAGGACTTTCTTGCTGAGAGGCGAGAGTGCTATCCACTCTGCCACCGTGCCGCCCAATATTTGTTCCTTGTTGTACTGTACTGTAGAGAACATTTAAACCAGTCTGTACAAAGCAGTGAACCATATAAGGATCACATTTCTTCATCGGTCTGTGCCAATAAATTATGTATTGGTGAGTAATCTTTCAATATAGTGTTGCCTTGTGATCTTTGAGCACTAATTCACAGGAGAATAAAAACAATCAGGCAGCTTACCTGGAACACTAAACCAATAATGCTTGTTTAGTGATTTGGTAACTTCACATTCAGAGTTTTTATTTATAATCATAGTTGCTTTTAAAGTCCACATTAATAAATGCAACACTCTGACAAGTCAACAACAAATCTTTATTTGAGTTTATGGTTTTGGTTTTGTAGCAACCTACTGGATAACGCTAATGAAGTGCAATAGTACTTAAGCACACAATTTGTGCAAATGTAACAGCATTTGAACTTCTCCTACACAAACACAGCAAAAAGTACATGCCAGAACAAAATACTAATACATTTTACAATCGACATTACTTCAGGATGACCTTTTTCAAGAAGGTCAGTTGTAAAGATCTACTTTTAAGCTATGGTGCTAGAGCCACCCAGTGTGGTGGTTCAACTAACTCAGCTCTTAACCACAGCAGTTTCTAGAAAATCCACTGTTAAACAATATAAATACTGACATGACAAAATATATCTTAAAATGTACAAGACATGAGGTCCATCTACAAGCAATTAATCAATCTCATCATAGAAGGCCATTGTATTTTATTCATCTGGCAGTCAACATTGGCATTGCAACAAAGCGTTAGCGACTAAGGCTATTAAATAAATCAGATTGAAAGACACATTCATCAAAATATATAATTTTCTGTATTATATAACAACCACTGAAATAATAGTCATTATAAACAAAGTATTACTATATCCATAAACTGAAATATCAGTAAAATCATAAGGCCATACATGCATCCATGTGACTGTAGAGATGAACTGTATGTTATATTACAGGCATTGGTCTGAAGGAGCCATTTCTTTTCACAGTGAAACGTTTCAAAAGTACTGTATGGACATTGGATGTTGTTTGGCCACACTCTTTATTTCAAGTGTGCTTAACTGCTTATCCAGTGTATAACTATTCCACCTAAATGAATCATCATCACATGCATTGACTGTATACCAAAACTGTAGTAAAATGAACATTCGGCTCAGTTAAGGAACCGCTTTATATGTCCACTATTAATCCAGGTTTTGTAAAGATTAATAAAATGTTGTAACTGGTGCAAACAGGACTATTTCACCCCCGAGCCCAAAGGAAGGGGTTTTTTAAAATGGGAAAGCAGATGCACCTATACATTCTATGCTTTCCTATTATACAATCAAGGGCCATATTTTTCCACAACCTAAAATTTAACAGCAATAACAAAATACTACTTTAGTTGCATTTAAATAGCAACTAATTAAAAGTAAACTTACTGTAACATATATTCAATAGTGTATAGTCCATGCAACTGTGCACGGCTGGTTTGCATTGTTTGCATTGTTTTAGTATGTCATTGTCAGTGTATGGGAGACATCAGCCACCAGTGCATTTTTAATAATGGATACTCAATCAACATATTGCAAAGCTCTCACCCAGATTTAAAAAGCAAAATTGCCACTTGGCCCAAGTAAAAGTAAATGAAATGCTTTGTCTCGTGAGTCACATAGCTGCCAAAATTTCTTCCGACAATGCAGTGCCATGTTGGGTTGTACTTTTTGTCAAATTCCTGAAACAAAAAGAAGAATAAAAACAATGTTAATGTTAACTCATTAAAAATGGAAATACTTTTGAGTTCAAATAGCACTTTTACAAAAGCTGTGCACCTAATGTGATATAATACATTGAAATGCATTAACAAAGTGATCTCAGTTTTATTCTAATAATAATAATAATAATAATAACGATGCATTGGTTTTATATAGCGCTTTTCAGGACACTCAAAGACGCCTCAAATGGAAAAAGTAAGCAGCTTCTTGAGATTCACTGCGCACAGCAGTGTTCAAGACTTCCATCTCTAGTGGAGTATGCGTTCCATAAAATCTCGTGCAAATAGAGCACCACAATAGATTTGAAAATAAAATGAACAAATCAAGCTTTAATTTTGGGGGCATGACATCCTAGAGTTAACAGTTTCTATAAGTCTCTCCCCCTTTTGAGAATCTACAGGAGGAATTCACTTAATGCTTGTCGATGGTTTATTTTTATCTCCGTTTGTGAGAAACAGTTTTCTTTGCAAAATGTGCCATCCATGGGTTTGATGATAACGTCCTGACCACAGGCTGATGCCAAGACTAGACTACCATCAACTAGTTTTGGCATAATTCTGCAGAGTGTGCATGTCATTACGTAGCCATGTTTATCACCTTTTTGATGTACGCTGCAATGTCCTTCTCTATGTTGTACTTCTCCATGGCCTGAGTGGCACAGTCCACAGCGTCCTGCTGCATGTCTTCGGACATATCAGCGTTTTTGATCACAGCCTTCCTGTCAGTCATGTTGAAGACGATGGTGGTGGCTGGTGACGACAAGAGAGTGCAGAAATTATCACTACACGTGGAGAGGATCTGGGGGTGTAGGCCGAAGTGTTAACAGCGACACTCAGGAACCATCTGTGCGCATGCCCCTTAAAATGTGGTCCCTTTTTGCGCCAATTATCACATAAAATCAAGGCACTCCAGGTCCCGTTTGGACACGACAGGGAATACACATAGATTGGCTGTGTAAGTTGATACAGGTGGAGTTAAATTACCTGGCAAAATCTCTCTTCAATAAAAGGAGCATCTAGGCTTGGAAAGTGTCTATCGATGTCGCTTTGTGAATGAACCACTGTGAAACGATCCGATGAAAAACGGGTTGTTCATAATTTATTCTAAACTGAACTTGAATAGCTACTATTTAAATGAAAGACAACAACGTAGAGTAACGCAAGACACGATGAAGTCAAATGTGTCAAACCATGCAAGTTTGTGTCGCCTTTTTAATCCGCCCACTCACCTTACTGTGACACAGCCGTGCGCCTCTATCAGAAACGTGTAATTTCAAGCTCGCTCGGGGAAGCTTTGATAATGCGGTCTGTAATTGCTTTTAAAAGATTTACACAATAAGCATGTAGGTAGTCGGTGCTGCGCTCAAACAGCTCCCCGCCCTCTTCTGCATGATGCGCGCTACTATTGGCGGAGCCGCAGCCTCCTGGCGAAGTGCAGCCTTTTCTCCTGCTTCTTTCTGCCGGCATCTTATTTCAACCCACAATGCATCATTCGTGGCCTACACCAAAGACTGAGATAAAAGGGGAATCAGCCCTTTGTTGCACATAGGTTTATAATGCGTTCACTATGTATCTACAGTAAAGATATTTTAGCATATATTTTACCCAATGTAATATATCAGACAATAAGGCAAGAATGAGACAAAAAACGTTTGTAGTTTTATTGAAAATGCTGCAAAAAAAATGAATTTACAAACTACTCCCAAATAAACCCATTCCCAACCAACCAAAATTGTATTTTTCATACCAGGCATCTACGAATCCATCCTTTGATCCAACTACTCCATCCTTTGATCCAACTTCCTGGTCCTCTGTTTCGTTTTCTTCTAATATATAGCCATTATACTTTGAAACTTTTAGATGAGTCTACTGTTCAGGGGATCCATTATTTTGTTCTGAAATCAACTGATTTGAATCCTGGTCAACTGATCCCGATCCGTGCATCCATCCTTGCCCTCCAGCCTATCCCTGTCCTATCGATCCACTCATCCAGCTCCAAGGATTGGGATCCACTGAGTTCCTCCAATCAAAACCTTGAAATACCAGGAAGAAAATCAGAGGCAGACTGTTAGAATGGTACGAATAATGGACCTTAATGTTTCCATTTTGAGCACTTTAAAAGCTAAAGCTATTTACTACCATTTTGACATTGAACAATTTACATTTGAGAACAGGTCATGAGTATCAAAAAGTTCAGATATTACATATGGCATCAAAGATGTTACACTTACATCACAACACACTTGTTCTAGGACTGCTTATTCTGTCAACAGCCAGAGTAGCAAGTATCATATTTAACAAGTACAGCACATATGGCTTCAGTAAGTATGACATGCATGATAACAAACCTATTAAAGCAATGGATTTATGAATGAACCATACCATTGTTATGACCTGATTGCTCCTCAATTAGATGTCCTATCCTGACCATACAAATGAAATGTGCTCCACAATGGTTTATTCCAAATCACTTTAATCCTTTTCTGCAGAACTCTAAAGGAAGACACAAGGTTAAAATGCAGTTAAGCACCGGGCTTCCAACCAACATGACCCACCCCAATAATGAGCCATTCAAATAAAAAACTTTTCAAAAGACATGCAAAAAAGTTGAGTGTTGCTTATTTGCACTCAACATTTTTGCAGTTAAAACAGCATAAGTTGTTAGGTTAAAAAAAACTGGGGACAGAAAGGGGGGACGGGGAATTGACAAAAGGAAGAAAAGGTGAATGAGGAGATATCCACAACACTGGGAGATAAAAAGAAAAACTCATAGCAGACAACTGGAAAATAAAGAGGTAAAAACAGGAGGGTATCAACACTAAAAAGAAGAAAACAGTAGGCGGCTTAGGATCGGGAGCGAGAGCGGCTGTGGCGTGGCGAGTAGCGTGGCGATCCTCTGCCGTTGCCCCGGGAATTGCTGCGACTGCGGCTGGCGCTGCGACTTTTGCTTCTACTTCCGCGGCTGCGAGATCGTGACCTTCCATAACTGGGGCTGCGAGGGCCGTCTAGTTTCACTCGAACATAAGCAGTCTCTCCCTGGGACAAGACACAACAGAACTTGACATTGAAAAGCTAACATTCAATGCTCCGGTTGATATGCCATTACTGAATACCTGTTGCATTTTATCCCCGCAAGTACTCACCAATAAAGCAAAGAACTGTTCCCATGACAATTGATCAAATCAGTGAACATACCTCGTGTGAGCGGAATTTGGTGTTGTCCAGCTTTCGAACAGCATAGGTCATGTCTTCTTTGCGCACAAACTCTACCACTCCTGTCCCATCTCTGTAAACATCAGCATAACACACATCTCCTGCTTCACGCATGTGGTCCTTCAGATCCTGCCAGCTGCCACTCTGTGGAAGACCTGGAAGAAGTTTTTCTTTGAATAATGGAAATAAATCAAAACCTGCATTTTTCACTGGTGACTTAAAAAGCAATTGCCATAAACTACAACAGGAATCAGAGATCCCAATATTATTAGTGTTGCTTACCAGACACGACGACTCTGTATTCAGAGCGCCTGGAGGGAGGCCCGTATCTGCCTCTAGGAGCTCCACCACCTCCGATCCCCCCGAAACCTCCACCACCTCCGCCGCCGCCACCACCACCACCTCCTCCTCCTCCACCTCCCCTGGAACCTCGGCCGCTGCGGGGAAACTCCACACGCAGTCTGTACCCATCATAGTCATATCCATCACGACCGTACACGGCATCGTCTGCGTCCCTGAAATACAACATTGTATGTTAATTATTCAATGCAACTTAAAGACCAGAACAGCCTTGGTCTGTGGTCAAAGACACACCTATATTAAACAGTGCTAAACAGTGATTGATATAGAATGCACCGGATTGGATTGCAGTAATGGAACTAACAAGAAAGCAGTTGGTCTCATGGAGCCAACGGCTAACCGCTAACGTCAACTAGCTAATTGTTAGCTCGAGCCCACTTACCTAGGATCCTCAAACTCAATGAACGCAAAGGGCGGACCTCCTCTTCGGTTTTTCAAGTCAATGTCTCGTATGGTGCCGTACTTATAAAACACATCTTCCACATCTTTAGTGCGAATATCAGGAGGAAGATTTCCTACATATATTCTGCAGTCGTTGTTCCCAGCGGGGCCGCGTACAACACCAGACATGTTGGCTAAAGCTTAGCGTGCGCGTGAAGACAAACGGCTTGCGCCTACTAAATCTGCTAAGCAGGCGAAGAAAACTGTAACTTGCCTAACGTCAGATGCAATTTCCAGGTGACATAACTGGGTTAAAATGAGTAATACAAATTTAAAACTCAGTTTGTGAGATAACCGAGGCGCACACCGTTGTAGCCACCACGGTCCACAGCCCGATGTGCACCGGAAACACTGGGGCGTCGCAGTACATCCGCTAGAGAAAGTAGTGCGCCTGTCACGTGACGCAGCGTTGTTCGTTTAAAACATAGATGTGTATGATTTATTACAATCGCGGCAGCTCATTTAGACAATATCAGTTCTTTCCTTTCTTTTATTAATTTTCATTTGATTGTAAATAATGTTTAGCCTGGCCCCGTCTAAATTTCGGCTGGAGCCAGGCTAAAAATGTTGTATTTACAGGCAAAAAAAAACCCCATAAATAGAATTGTTTGGATTCTTCCAGATACAAAATGCGCCCCTTACATTTAATCCATTCACTGTTTTAAAGATAATTTTAACATAAACATACAACATGAACCGTAATGATTTGTAATAAGTGGTGTAATACAGAATTTGAAGTGCATAATGCTCAGGTTTAGGCATTTATTATGAGTAAAGTATACATACGCTTACATACATACAAGTTGCAATACTTAGTGCATTTATTTTTTTAAAGAACGTACAGCATTTATGTTTAGGTTACACCTAAGTAAAAAAATAAGGAAAAAAAAAATTAAATCATTGAAATTCATCCTTCAAGAAATTCATCCTTTATCCATTTCTGGGTCGGGGGTGGCAGTCAGAGCTGCACCCAGTACACATAGCACCAGCCCCTCACTGATCCTCCTGCAGGTGGTGAGTCCACAGGAGCTGAGATCTTTCAGCAGGAGCTTCAGGCAGAGTGGGGTTAAGTGTCTTGCCCAAGGACACAATGACAGCAGACATCAGTTGGAATCTCCAGGCTAAAAGGCCAATGCTCTACCAACTGAGCCACTGTAGCCCCAGCATTGTAATGGTTGGCATAAAAACAACCATAACCCCATTGTTGATGTTAAACTATTAAAATTAGATATTAAAAAATAAAAGCATCAAAGTAATCAGGGGTTACCAGGGGCTTTGGGGGAATGTGAGAAAGCGGGCTGCATATTTTCAGAAAAAATGACACCAAAAACTTAGTTCAATCTTTACCTTTACCTTTATTTTGCATGATATACAGGGATCAAAAACCTTTAAAGTGCCTCTGACAGGTTTTTATGATTTAATTTCTTATTAGTAGGATGAGTTTTACAAACATGAAGTCAGTTTATGAATAAAAGTGAAAATATGTTGAAGTAATGACATTACAACAATGGATAAAAAAGGAGTGGCACAGGTTCTAACAAACGTTAATGATTCACTTAACTAATCAAACATATTCTTATTAATTGATTTACATTAGAGGATTTGTTCACATGGTTACATCCCTTACATCACAATCAATGATGGGTTAATGTTTTGATGTGCACGGTTCCTGTAAAAAACACCATATCACATCTAAGAAGTAAATATCCATCCATCCATTTTCTGCCCTTTAATCCATTTCTGGGTCAGGGGGGTGGCAATCAGAGATGCCACCCAAGTCTCATAGCACCAGCCCCTCACTGACCCTCTGCAGGTGGTGAGAAGTAAATATATAAAAATCTATTTAAAAAAACTTTCAAACTCAGATGCACTTTTGTGTATAACTACCATTATTTTCAAGATTTTAATGTTAACTGAGTTTTGTGAAAAGTCATGTCTTAGGCTTCCACTGGTTTCCAAGCCTTTTATTAAGATGACCGCTTTGGTTCACCAGGTTTGTACAGGGGCTGACAACCCCAGTGTATTAGTTTTAATGTAGCTGCAGTTGGATAAAAGACAGATAACCATCTCACCAGCTACAGTCGCGCCCTTACAGGAATTTAGTGACACAATGAAAAACAAACGTCAGGATACAAATAAATAAGGATGCAAGAGATTCTGAGGCCTTACATGTACATCATGTCTATATTGGCTGAAGCTGAAGTTGGCTGGATGACACAGTGAACTTGTGTTTATGATCTCAAAGACTACTTTGGGTTAGCAAGGAGGGCTGCAATTGGTCCGCAGTCCTTAGTCCATGCCTGGTCCACTTACTACAAGTCAGTACTACAAGATTCATGTCTCTGGAAAGTGGTAATTTCTTGGATGGTATGCATAGTTTTGATTATTTTAGTAATTAAGTATTATATGGAATAGTACCTTAGATGAATTAAGTGATCTTTTAACAGTTTTTACATTGTTGATTGCATATTCTATAGTTATCGTAGGAAAAGTGTTATATTTAAAATGAAATAAGCCTAAAGTATTATTTTACAAAGCTCTCTAAGTTTTGTTTTGTTTTTTCATAATAAAACATCTTTGAATCACCATGTTTGATTTTTTCCACCAACGTAAAACACACACACATTTATACATCTATATATATTTTTTTTTTTCCAAATGCATAAATTAAAGTAATCGCATTATTCAGTATGCATAGATGGACCCATAGATTTGTCCAGACTCAGCATGGTTATCTCCCGTGTACTTGCCCTGACATGCAAGGCTGTTAATCTGTGGATTGAAATCATGTTTAACAAGATGTATGCAGCATATAAAACTTTTATTTAGATTTTTTACAAACCTCTGCTCTTCTGATGAACTGTTCTGTAGCAGCTTTTTCATTCTCTTTGTGTCCTCTCCAGGCTCTAAGTGCTGAGGCCTGCAGCGCACGCCCAAACGAGAAGGTTAGAGTCCACGATTTAGGCAGAGGACAGTTGTTGATGGCATTGAGATGGACCGAGGCCTCCTCCTCACTCTGACCACCAGAGAGAAAAGCTATTCCTGTAGGTTAGAAAACATGTTTTTTGGCCTGTTCTTGATAAACATCCAACTACAACAATATACTGTGCAATGTAACATTAAAAACATAACAAACACTGTCAACAATATTGAATGCACTTTGTTATAGAAACCCATTATGCTCCTGATTCCAGGACGGGACACTTTCTGCACAGCAAACATGTAATATTATAATCGTAATTTAACAATGAGGCAATTATCGTGACATCTTTAATTAAAATCTATTGTCAGAATAGTGAAAAGTCCTCCAACTAAAACCCATCAAGTATGTCAATGGTCACACTACCTGTTACTGCCGGAGGGACAGTGCGGCGGATAGCAGTGAGAGTCGCCATCGCGACCTCCTCTGGGGTGTACTTTGTGAGGCAGTTGTGTCCCGCTGTGACCATGTTGGGTTTGAGGAGAGTTCCCTCCAGGTATACATGGTGTTCTGACATGGCTTTGTAAACCGCAGACAGAACCTAAGTTCCACACAAGGAAGGCTTTTGTTAGAAATGTACACACTTTTCTTACAAACAATCAGACTCACCTTCTCAGTGACTGCCTGGCAACGCTTGAGATCATGATCCCCATCCGGCAAAATCTCTGGTTCTATAATGGGCACAATACCTTGCTAAATGGAGAAAAAATGTTATATTTAATTTGAATAGTGATCCATAACTAATATCTTGTGTGATATAAGTTGCATGCTGCTTCAGGAGACTTTTTATGTCTGCTGCTGTCAACTTCTACAATGAACACTGTTGATGGGTTCAAATCTTCTGTCAGTTCTATCATCTGTAATGATAATCTAATAATCTTTCTACAGGATATATATAATATTTTCCATTAATAAATGTATTACACAATTGTGACATTGTATTTCAAGTCATGTATCATAAGGAATCATCTGGACCCTGTGATACTTAACCATGCTTATATCATAAAACTGAAAAGTTAATCATCCCAAAAGTCTGACCTGCTGACAAATACTGGAGTAACGTGCAAGTACATTGGCGTTTTCGGAAATAGCCAGTTGGGAAGGGTTGGTGTCACTGATCTTGAGCACACAACGCCACTTTGCAAAAACAGCTCCATCTTTTTTGTACTGTGCACAACGCTCTGACAACCCATCCAGACCTCCAAAAACACAAAGTTTATTTAATTCAATATATCAATTCATTTGTGATTTTTGTGTGTGTGATTTACCCTGTGTAGTAGTTTCCCCACAAGTTCCCGGTAAAGGAACCACACCTTTATCAACCTATCAAGTTATTTAAAAGATAAGAGAGTAACAACAGTAGCTTCAAAGAACATTTTGAATACCTATTGCAATACACATACCTTGACACCAACCATGATTCCTCTGTCTCTAATCATTTTGACAAAGGACACTCCAGCGTCCGTGTACTGATACAGAGTCTCATGGAAGAAGATCATTCCTCCAATGCAGCTGTTGATGCGATCGTCAGCGCTGAACAAGATCTGCCTGAACTGCCTGCGGTTCTCCTCACTGTTCTCCACTCCCACCTGCGCCAGACGCTTTCCCATGCTCCCTGCACAGTCAGAGGATGCAACAATCAGCCCTGCTCAGCTATACAGCATTTACAAAATTAATCTTTATGGTACTGGAGAAGCTACTGACCAACTGATTCATCTGCAGCCAGGATTCCCTTCCCTGGACAAACTATGCGTAGGGCTGTTTCGTGCAGTTCCTTCTTCTGTGCTTCTGAGAGTGATGGTGGCATCCTGAATCCTGAAAAATCTGCATGAGCAATAATCAGAAAATTAAATTCAAAGCAATTAATTATTCAGTGTCCTTAGAAATATTTGGGCTATATCTGCGATTTATGGGTTGAAGAAAAATAAGGCACATAACGGAACGAGGAAATGTGTTTTAGTGTCATATTGTGCGTATAAAAACCTCAAAAGAAATCCTTATGTTACTGATAAAGTATACAGAAGGTATCGGGATATACAAGGATATACAAATAACTACTAAACAAAACATATATATTTCAAATATAACTTTATATTCTCAAGCAGAACGCATGTAGCCAAGAAGAGTGACGGAGAAAAGGTACATAAAAACATAGATGATCGGAGAAGCCATACATTTATTTGATATATTAGAAATGTTTTGATGTTATTATTATTCAAAGTAATTTACGTTCTTGATCAATAGTTTCTCCAAATCTGTCCAAAATTGTGAAAAAATGGATCGGCCTCCAGGAATAGTGACAGATAGCAGTGTTTAATGTGTGAACGATATCTAAAATGGAAAAAATAAAAACTTCAAATGGTCTTACCTGGTGAAAAGAAGAACAATTGTATTCATCCAGATCTGTGATGCACTGACAGCAGCTCTTCGTCGGCTTAAGTTTGTATCGAGCTGATGTAGGTCACTCCCTCACACCTCAAGGCGGGACTGTAACGCCCACTTTAGTCCCAAATAATGAAATATATGAATCAGTTTAGAATATTCAACTGTCCAGATGGTGTTCTGCTTCAGTGCACACTTATTTCCTGCTTGGATTGGTCTGAATTGAATTGTTATGTGTTGAGGGATGTTGTCCTATTGACCTCTCTGGTGTTCTCCTGGGACTTCATGATGCTGTTTAGTGAGCTTACATAACACTCAGATCCACTCTACTTAATAGTTGTATTAGGTTCACATTTGATTATTCATCAGTTGTTATGAAAATGCTTAAGGCCATTTGTTGCAAGGAGGCTGAATACTGCAATTTTTTTTTAAATCTAACTTAATCCACTTTAACAAATTTAGCACATTTATAAGTGCTGCAAACAGTATAACCACTGCAGTACAAACTAGTTCCACCAGTATATGATCATAGACAATAAATATGAATAAAAACACATGAAAAAACAATGCATACAAAAAATCTCTCAAATAAGAGCTATTAAAAACAAACAAAGAAACGACCAATACACAATTTGGGCACGCAATTTTCACTTTGTGGTGGTCTTTAGAAAAAGAAAAAATAATCAAATGATGTTTCTCGCTGGGGCATTCCAACATGTGGAGAAGTTCATGGGGAATTAATACTTTTCAAGTCACTGCATCTAGTATCGTCCACTTTAGTTTGCTCCATATTTAGCTCTGTGAATAATGCACCTATCTACTAAGTTTTTGTTCCCATCATACTGCCCTTTACCATGAGCTATTTCTTTTTTAATTAGGAAAAGCATTCCCTGAGGAAATGTTTGGTCTCTTGATACTTTGATCCTCACCCTTGAATTCTCTGGAGTCTTTACGTCTCAGAGCAATTTATGGACCTGGAGGCTTCTGGGCTTTAATCTAATATAGCAATTAGTCAAGTTCAAAATAGGTCTGTCTTTTTATAATATGCAATAATAACAGCAACAGTTGGAATAATAAAATCAGTAAATATTGAACTATTTACATTCTTAAAACATAACATAACCATTAAACCAAATGTTTATTACAAATACATCATGAAATGCATTCAAATATTGAAAAAAAATATATAAATCAATGACCTGTAATTGTAGTAATTTAGACTTACACCAGGCAATTTGCGCAATGCCCTTTTAAAACTACAGGAATCATATGTAAATATAAAGTAGATAGTAAGAGCTGATAGTGTGTGGAACAAAGAGATAAGAAAAAAGTTTGTTTAGAATGAGGACAGTATACATTTACCATGTTCTTTATCTTCACCAGTGAATCAAAATAAATAACACGGAACGCTGACATTATGGAAAGTCCCTGCAGCAATGTCGTAGTAATGTGGCCATATTGTGGGGTAGGCAAGTCTACAGAAAAAGCTATTATGAGATGAGAAGACTCCTTGAATTGTGGGTCAGTGTGTCTGAATGAGATGTGGGTCAATGGACGAGTCATAACAGACCTATCAAAGACATGGGCCTGAGAGGGAGCTAATGTCCTTTGGCAGCAGCAGGGGCAGATTTAAATATAGGCTGCTTAAAGAAGTTCAGCAATTATACGTGACGCCCTCTATTGGGACCTTGACTATTCCTCTGTTGCTCAATTAAAATATTTAATAACACGGTCCTCAATTTCTGTCCTATTAAGGTTGTTCTCAATCGGTTTGGTAAGGGTGCCTCTAAATAGGTCATATCAAGACAGTGCAGCAAAAAACACATGGCATAAATTATGCAAAATTGCACTATTGTATGTTAAGTTAAAACAATTTTTTTACAATAAAAATGCATTCTTGAGAAAATAAATACATAGCAAAGCTGTTTATATATTATATTTAAAGGGCCACATCCTTGTGGGCCAACAATGGGGATCCAGAATGATATGTTTGTGAGTGATGGACTTTGTTACAGTCAAAGCTTTTCAAATAGTCGTCTGTAAGACCTCGCATTGCTTTGGCTGACCACTCTGGATGAGTTCTGAGTTTAAGAATGATCTCAATCGGGGAATTATGCAGAATTTCAGAGTCAAACGACGTCCCTCTGAAGAAAGCCTGAATCTGGAAGCTGTCAAGATTACGGAGGCGGTTCACAGGATTCTTGGACAGAAGCTGTAAACACAAATACACAAAGATATTTTGCTCACGTAAAACTTGGACCTGTTCAAAAAGAGATGTACACACCTCAGTAAGTAGCACAGTAAGAGCAGTGCTGCATGTATCTGGGATGATGTAAGGGCACTGCCTGACCTTCTTCAACATGGCGATGTGGTCCGAATCCGGAGGCACTGGAAACTAATGACATCAATTCAGTTGTGACTGTTCAATGTCAACAGCATTTGCAGGCTTTTTAAGAAGTACTCTTACCTCTCCTGTTACCAGGCAATAGAGCATAATACCGAGAGACCACCAGTCAGCTGCATGATTGTACGGACCTCCACCTAGGACTTCAGGAGCTGAGAATGAAATGGGTTTGATGAGAACAAAGCAGTTATACACATAAATAAGTGATCTTCAATAGTACCCATGTATTGAATAGTGCCACATATTGTAAATGTTCTTCCTCCACACTTCAAACGACGTGACAGTCCAAAATCAGACAGGCGAAGATGACCTGAATCAAAAATAAAACCATTATTGGATTAGGATTTTTGGAGGAAGTTAAACAAAAAATAGTGGTAGTAGTAGTATTTCCCCCAAAGCTAATAGCAATTACAAGTTTGAATTGATACAAACCATGGTCACTCAAGAGGATGTTGTCCATCTGTGCAATAAAACATCATCATTATTATACGTTATTTATAAATATTCTGGTGTTCAGTAAAGGTCCAACCTTAATGTCTCGGTGAATGATACCCAAATCATGCAAGAATCCTAAGAAGACAAAAAACAAAGTTATATTTTGTTGATTAATTGAAAAGTGACTCACCTCACCCAGTGCACTGGCCACCTCTGAAGCAAACAGCCGGATGTCATCTTCTTCGAACCTTCTTTGTAGTAACCAGCAGGTGTGCAGGTCTCCCATGCCACAGTAGTCATGCACTAACAACATACAAGGCATACAATTTAAAAATAAACCAGTACTGTGCGTAATGAAATGAATGCATAAAGGATGCATGAACAAATGGAGACTCTGGGAAAATAACTATAAGGCACTAACAATGACACAGTATGTGTGACATTCTGAATCAAAGGTTAGAAGGACAGCAATAGTCTAGTATTTGACTGTATTAACTCACTAATGAAGAGATGGTGCTGTGTCTGCCAGCAGTCCTGAAGGCTGTGGATGAATGGGTGTTTGAGCTGTCGCTGAAATGTAAGTCCATTCAGTGAAAATAAAAGTGCTGATGGTGAAAGATGATTTGTAAGTTAAGGAATAATTGACTGAATAATTATCACATTCATATTCTCATTTAAATCCTGCCAGTCAGACTGTACCCACAAGAATGATTAAGCCAGCATACCTGAATGATTACCTCTTCTTTTGACTGATCCAATGCACCACGATTTATTATCACGCACTTTGGTAAAACCTGAAAACCCACCGACATAATATTTAGCCACCTCTTAAAAGAACCCTCGATATTATTTATTACAAACCAACCACTTACTTTAACAGCATATATCTTGTCTTGGGAAACATCTTTAATCTTCAATATAGGCCCAAATGATCCTTTTGCAATGAATCCCAGCACCTATAGATACAAGATTACGGTTTCTTTCTTTACTTGCAACCTGTGTTTGTAATTGTCAAGGCCTTACCTGGAATCGATTCTGTCCAGGGAAATCACGCAGGGGAAACTCTGGTAGAAATGAAGAAACGGCCGACTTGTCTGTAACCTGTATCCTTTGGTCATTGGAAGTGTCTGAGGTGGGCAGCCGCACGCTCTGGGACAGCTGCCCCCGGCGGCTCAGTCTGTGCGCCACTGCGCCAAAGTTGGTGAGGAGTCCATGGCTGAATCTGCGCTGATGCGCGGCGCCATCGCTCTGGAAGTCACATTACGGGTTTGCGCGGAAGACACGGTCACTCAACAAGTCAATACTATTCTATATTGTCCGACTTTAATAAAAGGTGCCAGAGACAGCAAAATCCGCGTAACTGCATACTCACTTTTCGCCTTCTGCTCTGGTCGTTGCCCATGGCATTTTCACATCTTCAACATCCACATCCACAACTGTAGCTATAACAGACCCGTCTTCAGTGGAGGAAAGTGAAATGAGACGCACGTGCCGCGCAGACCCGCACAATGGCTGGCGCTCGCGCTCCAGTTCCTCCGGTCACATCATCGGTCATGACCGCGGACTCAGACGCCACACTTTTTTTTACTCAGAACCTCACTGGTGCTGGGGGAACGAGGTTCTGTTAGTGTTGGGTATATTATTCTAAAATGAAAATACATTTATATCTCTAGTTGAAATATATTTCTATCTAATGTCCACGGGCCAATCCACATGAAACCAAAAATGACAAAAGTTTCATATCTGTGTCAATAAATATCCACCATGGTGAAATAATAAAAAATAAAAAAAAACATTCACCATAAAAGGTTTGTGGAAGGGGTGACAATTCAACTGAAATAGAATTCTACAACACAAGCTTTTCCATATTTAAATTAACTAGATGTTTATTCCAAAACATTGAGTATGTAAAATATGACATGATATCCATAGAATTGCACTAATTTACAGGCCCAAAGTATCTCTTGTCATATTTTATTGACAGATAAACAAGGCCACAGAGACAAATTCCTTATCTATGATATGTTTTTTTTTTTTTAAAGGCAAGTGAATTGTAAGTAGCTTTAACAGGAGAAAGATTAGACAGCAACACCCGTTGTATACAAAAATATCAAATAACAATGCAGTAAAAGTGCTTCAGTTTTAAAATTACAAAACACCCTCAGTCTAAGAACAAATATATTTGCATCTGTAGCTACACTCTAACAAACGGAAATGTTGACAGCTGTTATTGCATGAATAAAGAAGCTCAAATAATAATAAAAAAAACATACTATTGTGTTTTTTTGGCCTAGAGTCAAGCAATTAACTTTAGTAATGCGTGATATGATACAACATACAAATATAGAATTGGCATTATTTGTAAGGTTTTCAAGTTGCTTCGGTGTTCCTGAACCAGCAGGAAAAAAGGTGCTTTCAATATTGCATTTGATATTGATGGTGGAAAGAATAGGGTACATAATTTCCTCCTTTCTATTCAATATCCATTGCAAAAAGTGGTTTGAATACAGTATTGCATGTGAAAAGCATAACATTTTTGTGGCACATAAAGATGCATTTGGTCAAAATGGCACACTCATATTTAAAGGCTGTAAATAATTGCAAAGAAAGGAAATAGCATATAAAAATTAGTATTGATAACTTGAAATGATACAATGATTTATAAAAATCTATTCAGCAGGCTCTGACTGTGAAATAATACAATTATGTGAAATTAAACTAACTCCCTTTTCTTCGTTGAGTAGCAGTTGCAGTGATTCCCCACATGCTTAGGGCATGTATAATTACAGTTGGTCTGTATTTCACTTGCGTCGGCTGAAAATGCTCTTTTTGCTGGAGCTCCTGTCCGCAGTGCTGAGGCCGATCAGCAGCCGAGCCTTCTCATCTTCCTCCTGCTGCTGCAGACTGTTGTCACTCTTCACCTCTGATGCTTTTCCTCGCACATCGGAGCCCGCAGCCGGCTTTAACCTCAGCTTTTCCTTAATCATCTACGCACAAATAAATCATGAGGTTTATGCAACATAGGAACAGTAAATCTACCAACAAGTGAAAAAACCTTTACCTGTGCTACAAGTGCTTTACGACTATCTCTCTTCACGGCCATGGCAAAGTCCAGCCATGTCCAAGTGTTGTTGTGATATTCCAAACATGGTAAAACCAAGTTTAGATCCTTCCAGTCAACACTACTTTTCTCACCCTTTGAAAAAGATACATTGATAAACCAACAAACACAAAAACAGTCACATGGGACTTAAACGTCCTACCTTGTAACTGACACACAGAGGGACTTGAGGAATCTTTATGTAGATGAAAGAGTTGTTCATAGCAGCGCGTTCCTTCATTTTATCAATATCATCCACTGGATGCTGATGTGGAGAGGTGACATGTCAAAACCCCTGTCGCACAAATATTATGCTACACCTTGGACGTTTTACCTCTGGAGCTTTTCTAAATGATCGCCTGACTCCTGCTGTCCTGTTCAGTCCCTGGGTCATGCCTTTGCTTGAACCAATGGGGCCAATGGTGTCTTCTGATGACTGCCGAGACTTGACTGGGATCCCTGTAACAGAGCTCTCAGCACTCTCTACAGCCTGTAACTTATACTCCCATAGGGCACCACACACACCTCCCCTATGCACACAGCCACCGGCGCATACATCAAAAGCCTTTTAAAATAGCCTAGAGCCATGACCTAACTGGCTATTCAATGTCACGAGCACACCACGCTAAGAACCAAGACGTGCTATTGACAGACCAACAATGCTGATCTATGAAGCACGATGAATTGCACAAATTCTTATCCTAATAATTGAAAAGGTAGAAAATCCATACCAGTTGTGACCAGTCTAAACTTGTCTTCCTCATCAGCAACTTCCTCTTCTTCAACATTTCGACCCGGGAAGAAAAATCCCATCATCCTTTTGAAAAACTGGTACATGAGTTGAATCGTTAAGGGCACCACATTGACCTAATAATTCAAGGGAAATTATTATCATGAAAAAATACAGCAGTAAATAATTGTTTGCATCAACGCTCACTTCAAAATGCTCCTTCACAGAGATTCCTCCCACAGGAGGGCGCACTTTACTAAAGATGCGCAAGGCAAACTGACGTCCGGATTGACAGTTGCTTTGAGGGCGCAGCACAACCTAAAACATCAGATCAGTTTTTAAAGTTTTCTTCCCAGAACATTTATAACAATACAAATGTAGTAAAAGCCATGGAGTGAGGCACAATGGAGATAAAGCGCTATGAAACAACCACATTTTCTTTACATTAGTAACATTGAGACACAATGTTTCCAAAACATGCAGCACATAAACACAGTGAGTCACGATTGGCTTCACAAGGCGTGCTGCACATCATGGTGATTTTATGCACATACATACCCTCAATCGCTGCACAGAGGGAGACCAGGTAAAGAAATGCATATGAAAATAGTATTTAAGTATTTAAGCGCTATGTGCTGTAAAGTAGACAAACTAAATTACCAATACACAATACAAATAAAGTCTAAACAATACCTTGTATGCAGCATTGGGAAGGAGATTATTCATGGTGAACCAACCAAGCTCCAGAAGATGCTCTGCTGTGTCATCAGACTTGTTCAACTACATAATAAAGCATTTGTGGTCACAATTGTGAAACGTGTAAACACATTTACCAAACCTTGCAGTTTTGCCAATATAAACGATGGTTGCTGACCTTGCTGTACATGAACCTCTGCAGTTCCAATTCTGCGATGCCGAGCTGTCCATCCTCTTCAGTCAGGCACCATCGTGCCTGAGCAAAGTAAATCTCTGTTCTCCTCACTACACTCACATCTTCAGGGGGCTTCCTCAGCTCCAGCTTGTTGGCCTTCTGGAGCTGGAAGTCCTTGAAGCACCTAGGTTTGAAGATAATTATTAGTTGAGCAAGAATTTCTTAAAGTTAAAGTGATAATGAAATAATTAAAAACCTAATAAGAATGTTGAGCTCTTCACTTTTCATCTGCATGTCATTCTTCTCCTGGTTCAGCTGATTCTGGAGTCCAAAGTTAATTTCTACCACCTCATTATTGATGTCTTCCGGTTGAGCCTGTTCATAATCATGTCACAATATAATTGAAGTAATTCAAACTCGCATGTTGATCAGATGGTGAACAGACCCTTATATTTGAATAGATCTGCTTCTCCAGTCGCCTGATCTGAGCCAGGTGCTGCCTCACAGCCTCTTGAAGGTGTAGGATGCTGCTGCGTTGCTCTTCAGGGTTACTTGAAATCTCCAGCTGAAAACGCACACGCTGCTTCTTCTCACTGTGCTCCTATGTGGTAAACAAAATGAGAAAAACAAATCTATATTCAACATTTGAAAACAGCATAATTCATGAACAATGGTCTGGGTCAGACAACCCACCTTCCTCCTGGGCTCCACATGGAGCAACAGGTTGTTGACGATATCCAGAATCATGGCATATTGAACAGGGTTTGTAGATATCTCAAGGTCATGGTGAATAAGGGTGAATGTGTCCACGGCTCCTTTATTACAAAACAGCACAACATCATTCAAGATTCATACCAGTTTGTACTTCATGTACAAATACCAATTGCGAAGGACAACTAGTTCAACAATAACAAATACACACCGGCTCGTTTCTTCAGCAGATCTTCTTTTTCATGGCTGTTCCTCAGCTCTGGAGGTTTAATTTGGGTTGCCAGTTCAGGGTTAATGTCGTGACTGTAGCTGATGTAATGCATCCGGCAGCTACAGCGAGATATGATTCGCTGAACCTGTTGAGTTTCGTTAACCTGGGCGGGCTGGTTCCAATCTGAACAAACAAAGTAATGGTGTTGGTAACTTTGGATCATTTAAGAGCTTAACAACTCATTAGCCCCTTTTCCAAGGGGGGAGGTTGGTTGTATGTGTTGGCACGTATAACATCGTAGCGTTTCCCTAATTATGTAACAGCCTGATCCTTGAACACACCTAATGAGTGTCTAGGCAGCAGTGATTATGTGTATTATAATATATGCCTATATACAGTATTTTAGCTGTGTAGCTACACTAAAAGGCGGACTCCTGTGGCACCAATATAACACTGATCTATTGTAAGAAATTCCAGCAGCAAAGTTTGCTGCTAAACATGTGGAAGTAAAGAACTATCGCTATAGTAACATGCTGTTCTTTGTCCAGCCACAGGTGGAATCTAAACTTTCAAATCAATCCAAATCGATCAATCATTTTGGGCCGGGACTTGTAAGGTGATAAAAAAAAAAAATTACGCATATTTTTTGTGTAATTAATTTATCTTAATTGACACATTTTGATATATTTCACACCACAGAAAAAAGCTGAGCGCATTGGTTAGCCCTGTGGATGATAAATATTGTTCTTAAAACAAATTGGTGGAAGCATCGATAAGAGCATGGTTGTCATAGCACATCACTGCAGCACATTGAACATCACCTCAATGCTAAACATAGACCCACACCCAACCACACTCCACCAGGTGACTGCTTCAATCCTGGCTCACTGGATTGCACTCAAATGTAGACCACTTTTGAGTAATAGAAGATAAGGTTTCTATACAGTATAGAAAAAAATATATATTTTGATGCTTAAGCATATTTATTCAGTCAGACCTCAGTGTGAAAAAAATACTTTTCACTGCTTTCAGGTAAAACATGTACAGCACGGACCAAATGTTTGGACACACTTTCTCATTCAATGAGTTTCCTTTCTTTTCATGACTATTGACTGTGGATTCACACTAAGGCTGTGTAAGGGCTATTTGACCAATAAGGAGAGTGATGGGTGCTGGGCCAGATGACCTGGCCTCGACAGTCACCGGACCTGAACCCAATCCAGATGGTTTTGGGGTGAGCTGGACCAGGGGTGAAGGCGAAAGGGCCAACAAGTGCAAAGCATCTCTGGGAACTCCTTCAAGACTGTTGGAAGACCATTTCAGGTCACTACCTCTTAAAGCTCATCAAGAGAATGCCAAGAGTGTGTGAAGCAGTAATCAGAGCAAAAGGTGCTACTCTGAAGAACCGAGAATAAGACATATTTTCAGTTGTTTCATACTTTTTTTTTTTTACGTATACAATTCCACATCAATTCATAGTTTTGATGCCTTCAGTGTGAATCTACAATTTTCATAATCATGAAAATAAAAAACTGAGAAGGTGTGTCCAAACTTTTGGTTTGTACTGTATATGCAATTAATTACAAAGCCTCTAATTAATTAGATGCACCAGTGGAAAAGTTCCTATACAGTGCTGAAAGAAAGGGATTGAAGATCTAAAAGGGATGTTGCGCACCTATAAGTTAACATAATGTTGAATAACTGCAATACACCGGCGAATGTATTTTGCCACCCTTACCTATTTTTATGTCATACCTGCTGTAGTGCTAACCATTCCTCCTACTGCCTGGCCACTCTCCATCAGCTCCAGCACAGAGTCCAGATTTCTCTGTCTATGTTCTTCAATATTTTTAACCTAAATCAAACACAATTAGCACATGGAAACTGGTGAATGGTTGAGGTAACTACTTATACATACTTCCAGCCACAGCTGCCTGTCCTCGTCTTCAGAAGGATTGAATTCCATAGTGGCAAAATACTGCATGCCATCGAGCAAACAAGTCCAGGTGGTTTTCTGCTTCAGAGTGTCGTTGTACCAGGATGGATGATGTTCACACTGATGGAGCTGAGCTTTGGCTGCAGACACAAGCACACACCCAGCAGTCTCTGTCCCACGTAGCATCATCTGTACAAAAGCATGATGTTGGTTCATCAACTAAAATCAGTGGTGCAATTCAATTTCATTCATTGAAATGTTGTTGAAATATCTTTTAGCCGTATGCTTGCAATGTGTAGCCTGGCTCTGCCAGACCCTTGTAGTTCCGCCATGCTCCACCAGAGGCGTTTGGCTGAACCACATGGTTGTGAAGTGCAGCGAACTACATGGGTCTGGCGAGAGTCAGGCCCCGACTCCACCGGCCGCGTAAAACGAACGACGGATCCGTCCAAACATGTCCGTTTCATCTCCGTCTCCGTTATCTCCATGAGGGTGAATGGAAGTGGCTCCACTGCCTCCGCATGCGTCCAACGCACGTCGGACGTATTCCGTCAACGGAGGGTGCAACGGACGCGGACGGACGAAATAGAAACAATCCTATTTGTTCCGTCCGTCGACGCGTGTCGGGTCCGTTTTCCATTGAAAATACAATGGAATAATATATTTACAACATTGTTAAACATGTATTGATATATGCTGTTGTCCTTGGTTAGAAATATTTGTTAATGACAATGATTATTAACAAACGTGTGTAATGTTTTTCATGTATTAATTTAAATAATTGTTTCGTGATCGTAAATCTACCAATTATTTTTCGCGTAATGTTAATACACTAAACTTTACATACACCTCGCTCTTTTTTCTCTCGCTCTATCCCGTCTACCTGCGAGGCGCTCTCTCCTCACCGCCGCGCACTCCCACACACACACACACACACACACACACACACACACACACACACACACACACACACACACACACACACACACACACACACAAAGCTGCACTTATGAGAGACAGATCTCACAACACTGGATATGTTGTTCTTTTCTCTTTTCTCTCTCCCCTTTTTCCAATTGCTTTCAATAAGTTTTGCCTCATCCATCGCGACGTCCTCAATGCTTCGATATGCTGTGCTTTGCATTGATCATAGCCACAGCTCATGCACATCACACACCGCTTCTTCTATTTAAAAATATAGCTCTGCCTGTTGCCTAAAGCCGCAGAGAGGCGAGTTGGGTCCGATAAAAGTGTATGACGCGCTAAATAAGTAGAAAACAAACGAATAGGCTGGATCATAATAAACGCTGCAGTCACAGACCCAAACACAGATGCACGCACACGCCTCCCACCACACACACACACACGCTCTCACGCACACATGCACGCCGACAATACATAACTCCTCCATCAGCCAAACATTCATTCATTCACACAATGCCCAAACATGTCTCCTACAAAAACAAAGCAGGCTGATAAACGCACAGCCAGAGTTGCGCGCTGCTGCAGCCGGTTTGACCACTAGTCCGTTTTACGGACGGCTGACGGACAGCAGCCAACGCGCGTCAACGGAGACGCGCCCGGTGGAGTCCAGGCCTCAGGCTATGCAATGTGTGGGTCTCAATAAAAAGTGTAATATATATATATTAAAAATTGTAAAAAGGAAGAATATTGATTTATAAATCACATTAAAGAAAAAAAATCTAAAAATGTAAAAACTGCAAAAACATGATAAAATATTAGGTAATAATTGCTTGAAAATTGAGTGGCTTTTGTCTTAATTTGAGAAAATTCTGACCGCCTTAAAACAAGAAAAAGCCAATGGGACAAAGCCATTTTATTGCTTTATTTTCAAATTTTTCAAAAACAAAAAGCCAACTAAAAATGTGCTCAAATTAAAATGCACCTTGCCAAATTTGAGAATTTTTTGATTTGTTTTTCATTACTTTTTGCAGGGTATACTTGCACATTAATGTCGTCTGTGTTATTTGAAGGGTTAATCTTTTAATTATGCACTTTAATATTTGCGGTTAACCCCAAGATGGGATGCAGATGTCAAGATCAAAATAAAGCATGAAAAGTATTACCTGACCGTTAACCAACTCAATGAACCAGTTTCGGTTGTAGACATCATCAGTTTGACAAGCTGCGGTCCCACACAGCTGATCACTCACTCCAGAGTCCTCTTCTGAGAACACCACAAACTTGTCTGTTTCTTCAATCAATTTTTGGAGCATTGATGTTCCTATGAGAAAAATAATGATGATTAGAAAATGAAAGCTGTTCTGGTGTACAACAAAAACATTTATAGCTCACCTTCATGTTTCTCTGCTCGACTGAGAGTTCCACTGGGGAGGGGTGTGGAGGGAGCAGTCGTTGGAGAGTAGTTGGAAGGTGAGCGTTTTAGCTTCTTTGCCTGAGTTTGAGTGTCGATCTTGAGTCCCTTCAATGCTTCAGTTGAAAGGTTCCTCTTCAACACAGAGGCCTTTTTGTAGCCGTCATAAAGAGCAAAAGCAATGTTCCGGTTTGTGGTGGTCCAGGATGCACGCAGATCCACAAGTCGAAGTTTATGAGTGTAGGAAGCATTGCTTTCATCTTTTGTGATCACCTCCTGCGCAGTGTATACGGTTACAACATGAACTAGAACCCTTTTATAGTGTGGATGTATACCAATTACCTCCTCCATTCGGTTGCTTTGCCGCTGATAGTTCAGAGAGGACAAACTCAGGAGGTGGGTTTTCTTGACTTGGGCGTTGATTTGGTGATCTGCGGTCTCATCCCATGTGGAAGCCATTAGGTGGACTGTCACCTGGGACAGCTCACTCACCATTTGAGTCACGTTCCACTCAGAGATCAGCCTCCTCATCACAGTCCCAGCTAATGGACACACAATTCTACTGGTTCTTAACCTGAACATGCAGAAGTAATGGAGAATATAGAAACTCATGGTTTACCCTGTGGAATAAGCCGCTGAGCCCCTCGAGTGAACACATGACCTTTGCTGCACTCCACTTGGATTCCTCTCTGTTGAGCAAAGGACGCCCAGTACAGCACCTGAAGGAAAACTCATATGTGATGATGGGATGTACAGTATATTACACACCTAGTCTGTTGACATACAATCATTTGCACTGACCTGTAACTGGGGAAAAGCAGCGGTGTAAGACATCTGTTTGTAATGCTGACCCAGCTTCTTGCGAACAGGTTTGTGGCTCTGGAAGGGTTTTCCTCTGCATACTGGCCGAGAAACATTGGTCCAAGTGGCCCAAAAATTTTGCATCCAACGCAATGTGCTGCTGAACAGTAGGATTTCAGGTTTGGCAGGCTCTGAAAAATATCACTTGTTACTTTTTCATTAATAGATTATTGAAAAATAATTATGCAAAGATCAACACACCCGAGCCCTGATTGAGGTCCATGGTAATGGAGAGATTAAGGTTTTCTGAGCGAAATGCTCTGTAGGAGTCGTGCGGTTGTCCTGAAGTCACATCTGCGATGCTGTCGGCACAGCACAGTGTCACGCTGTGGTGATCATGGGGGTTTCCATGACACAGCCATTGAAGGTCAAGAGTCATACACAAGTTAGGCAAGTGGAGAAAGCAGACATCGTCATACCTGGACACACAAAACAAAGACTATTACAATTTTTCTATGATAGGGAGTCACTTTTTAATGCGCCAACTTTACTTTGAGGCAGTGCGAACATTCACATCCAACATGCCCTTAAAAACAAATTGCCCAGGATTCCAGTCAAAGTTGAGCTTAGACCATTCCCAGTGCAAGTTTTCTGTAGTGTTGTAAGGGTCCTGTTATATAAAAAAATGCACGTATTAGGCCATAAAAAAAATTCAAAAAGTGTTTTCTGAGTATTGGTTTACTTCTGTAGCAAGTTGATGGAGATTGGCCATGTCAATGTCCATTGTCCAGTGACCATGTAGAAGAAGTCGACTTTTGTCCCACCAGGCAAGAAGAGGAGAGGGATCAGCTGTTGGTTTGGTGAGAAAATCAACAGACTGACCAATTAGTGTCCACGCCGGATCCCAACAAGGTCCCCAGACAATAGTGTATTGGGAAATTGTTGCTGAATTAAGAAAAAATGGGCATAAAATTGTTTACAACAAATTCAACAGTATTCGAGTCTATTCATAAAATTTGTACAACATATATAGTCTCTACTTACATTTAAAGTCATAGTAGAACTTCAGAGGTGGAATATTCCTGTGCACGGTCACATCTCCCCATGGTGCGCCAAGTTTGAAAATCTTTTTGCGATGACCTCTAACCAACCCGTCTTGTTCTGTCCCGACAAGACGACCTGACAACTGCCAGTCACGGATTTCAAACAAGTATCGAGGGTAGTCCCGAATTCTTACTGTAAATGCATTCAAAAGTCAAACCACCATAAAGCAAAAATATGTAAAAGGACAGAGTTGAACAGACCCAGAAATGCTGCAAGTTTGAATTTGACGGCACGACACCACTGCACCACCAGGGGGAGTCCTTCTCTTGGGAAGGGGCTTATCCAGTCGATGTCCCTCAGCTGCTCTCTCACCCTCTCTGGTCCATGGAGAGACTCATCAGCAAGAACTACCAACTCCACATCCGACACAGTCCACGTCAGCAGAGACTTTCTCATCGGAGTGTTGGCGTAGAGACGACGAGAGCGTTGGATGTAGATCTCAATGTGCTTCCTCTCTAGTGAACTGTACAGCTCCTCGATTTTTCTAGCGGGCAGAAGTTCACCATGTTGCTTGCGGAGATCGGCAACTTTCTTGTCGAGTAACTGCAGACGCTTGGCACTTTCTTTACTTTCATCTTTCATCAATTCGTAGTTGTCACGCAGCTTAATCTCAAAGACATCATCTAGGAAGACGAATGAAAACTGACTGATTTTAAACACAAGATCTGGAGGCAACTGCTGAACATCTGTGGTTTGACTTTGGGACAGATGCAGTGTTTTTAACAATTTCTGAACGCTAATGGCCATGTCAAAGGTGTTAGAGAAGTTGTACTGATAAGGGAACTCTATGGCCAACGAGGGGCATGTCAGGATCCAAACACAGTTGCGAGGCGTTGTCAGGAAGGAAAAGGCGTCTCTGTGCAGCTGCATTTCTGTTACGTCTGTGTGCGCCTCAACATCAAGGGATTTAAACGTGACAATGTTGTTTCCGTCAAAGTTCCAAATAAGAGATGGGGACTGTAGATGCATGAAACCAGCATGCTTGGAAACTAAAATGGCATCAGCGTAGAGCATAATGTAGTTTTCTTCACTCACATGGGCTGTGACACGTGTACAGCCGAGCTCAAGACGCACAGTGAGACTTTTGCTTTGGTCTGAACCGCTGCCAGTTGCCTTCTGGGAAGTCTCCTTTTGGGTTCTACAAAGCATAAGCCAACATGCTTGTGCCTCGATAATGTGCTGATATAAAACCATGTGATCCAAAGGGGCCCATTCTAGACTGAGTTCTCCCGGACATTGGACCTAAAAGATTTGCGTTTAAAGATTAGGGATCATTTCAACTTCGACTGATATTATCTATGGATTATCATTTACCTGAAATGTGTGGATGGTGATGTGGTAACAAAAATCTACAGTGGCCAGTTTAAAAACAGGATTAGGAGTCTCAGCAGCAGAGCAACACAACTCCATGTTTTCCTTCACCATCTTGATGATTGACAGAGCTGCTCCTTGTAGTGTGATGTTACAACTTTCAGCAGAGCTCATAATATTTATGGTGTCCATCCGCAAAGACACAGCTCCTTAGATCAGAGAAAAATGTTAAAAATCCAACAGCATTGGTTTCAAAATGTACTAAACATACCGGCTAGGTTAGAGAGTGTGAACGCATTGACATCTTCCAGACAGAGATCCAATTTAAAGAAAAAGTTTAGATGTGACTGAAAGGGTGGTTGGACCTGTGAATCATCAGGGCCAAGAGCTGAAGAAACCTCTGAGAGCTGCGGTTCATTTACAGGAGGGACAAGCAGCAACAGAAGCCGTGACAGACACAGGGCGCAAGTCTCGGATAGCTCCAGCTGCAGCCCTTTTAGACTCGCCTCCAGGTTCAGACGAGGCAGCTGATCACAAACATCAAAGTGGGGCCGATTTAAACTGCCCTAGAAGAACAAGTAGACACATCATTTACATTTACTTATTGATTATAGGATTGCCAGAGACTACGGTCATGCCTTTACCTTTAGGTTTAAGGAGTCTAGAATCAGGGCTTCTCCCCAAACATGTTTACCAGGTGGGTGCGGAGCCTGTTGAATGTGGGAGCCTTGGCCCACTCTCCACCAGAAGCTGTCCAGGACAAGAGAGGCGCGCTGGTGCACATACTGCTGCTCTGGTGACTCGTGTTCCATTTTCATGTCTGGAAGATGCTTTAATTCTGAAACACAGGTCATTCAAGATTACAACAAATTAAATCACTGTAGTGTAGTGTTTCAATCAGGCATGTTTGACAACCCCTTGCATTTGTACATTTCAGTAGTTTAGACAAGTCGTTTTTTATGTAATAATCCAAAGGAAAGATTAGCCAAATTTCCCAGCCCAATTTCACATCCACCAAGACTCATTAGATCAGTTATTTTGGTTTCCCCTAGTACCACCACATAAACTAGTGAATGGGAATGACTAATAACTATTCCTGGTGTCTTAAACCAGCTCTAAAAAGGACTGCAACATTTAACATCAATCTGAAGCCCTTAGAGGACAACATTAACTAAAATCATTGTTACATCATTAAGGTGACATTACCAGCATTCACAGACAGGAATCCAAGTGCAAATGGTGTGGTGTCTCCTAGCTGAACAGAGACATTTACGTTTGTCACAGTCGACGTGAGCATTACGGGGGCGTCCAGATGAGGGAAACACCTGAGGAGGAGGTTGGGGAAATAAAGAAAGGGGCTACACAAAACAACATTATAAAACTTAAGAAAAAGAGTACTCGGGCACATCAGTAGGCAATAGAAAGGGCAAGTATACACAATTATCATAGATGCGCAGTAAAAGTACTTGCCTTTTTCTATGTGCCGTTTTTCTGTGTAATACTTTCTCGCAGGAAAACAGATTCAGCCAATGTGAAAACTCCTGATGGCGATAGTGTATAATGCATGTGTTGACAGTGAATGTGCAGGAAATGTCCATAGATGAAACCTTAAAACAAGAAGCCAGTTAAACTCTTGGTCTTAATTTAGAATGCGATTGGTAGAACAGCTCACTCACTTGCAATGTCGTCTTCAATGTGTTCAGACAAACAATCCTTTGTCTACTTTGGGAAAGAAGAAGTCCATCTGCCAAGAAAGAAACCATCTGCATGACTAATTTTTTTGTTTTGTTAATATAATATGGGGCATGTAAGATGTATAAAAATAATTAGCACCCAATAACATGTGAGCAAACCGATTTTGTATATTGCTCAAAATGCTTTATCACAAACCTTCCAGTAAGACTTGGACATGACTTTGGGGGAAGCTCAGCTCAGGTGTGAAACTTTTGAGTGGATGCTGTTCATTGTCTCGTCCATAGCAAAGTTTCAAAGACTTTAATGTCCAGTTCAAGTGCCTGAGAAAAGAGAAAGTAATTCAATGAACATTGCAGGTTCAGAATGCAGCCAATGTATTATTTGAAGTGGTCATTAAACCAAATAAGTGGAGTGATGCAATATTAGCTGCCGTTTGAAAAGTTTTTTAAATATAATCATTCAAACCTTTTTGTCACGAATAAATATCAACAATAATTTAGCAAAAGGTATCTCACCGTTTCTGGCTATGCATGGACAGAGTTACATTTGTATTATCAAATTCCACATTGACTTTCTCAGGAATGAGCCGGTGGAACTGTTCCACGTCTTCAGTTTGGAAAAACTTGTTGTCGTAGTCGACTGACAAAAAAAAAGACAAGAATGCTCAATACTACATTTATTTTTCAATATATGAGATGAGTGACTGACTTACAAGAGTTAATTGAGGAAATGGATTTGGTAGAAGGAAGTACAAGTTGACTGAGGAAAAGTCCTTCATGTAGCTCTCCTATAAGTGTCCTCACACAGAGCGATACGCAGCCTGGCTTTAGATCAGGCACACTCACATCACCCGACAACAGCAGGCTCAAAGCAACCTCAGCCAAACATATGTCCTACAGCGGGAGAAGAAAATCCAAACCATTCCATGTCCAGCACTTAATAAAACACAATAAAATAAACAAAAAGAAATCTTACCAACTCACTACTTTTGAGAACTTTACTGCTTAGTTGTCCCACAGAAAAATCCCATGACAATCTTGGGACAGAACACAAACAATATTGATTTGGGTTTTTTTTTCCAATCAATAAAATACTGCTCACTTACTTTTTGTTTTGATGGTCTAGTAATAAGGTTATGCCAGTGATTGTCATATGCCATAGAGACTCTGACAGTGCAAGATTCAGGACCATAACATTGATCGAGCTGACGTGGAATGATAGCAGCTGAATAGTAAAAAAAAAAAAAAAAAAAAAAAAAGGACTTACATTGGTGAAACATAAAATCATTGATCATAAGGACACATACTTGTGAGAAAAAGCCGAGTAAAGTGGGGTTGACTGATACTTCCCCAGATTTGTTTCCATCGCTATTATTCCGCACGAACGTCAGAGATGAGTGCAAGTCAAATCGTATCCGTGTTTCACCAATACATAAACCCAAGTATCTCCTGTAAAAACGTGTGACATATGACTGTTCTACGGGACATTAGATTAAGCGGCCTACGGTTGGAGCAGCCAGGCAACAACCAACAATTATTTTAGTTGTCGAGCATCTATTTACTTGTATATGACTAGTTCTAAACTATTTTATTTATACACGAACACTTATAGTATCTTTATATCATATATACCAAAATGTGATGATTGAATGCTTTTAAGAGAAGTGTATTTGTATTGATAAATACAGGCAAATGTTGTGCTTTATGGTATTTTTACAAATTCTGATCATCCAAATACAAATTGTTCTATTAGTCGACTAATTACGATGTATTCATGAATAATTTCTGCCTTATATGTAGTCTACTTACGGCAATCCTGGGTTGAAGAATTGACTTGATATCCATATTCTGTCGATTTCCTGTCACATATTCAAATCCTTAATTTCACTCTTCCAGAAAGAGCTTTATCTTGTGAAATGAGTTTAAGAGTTATATATAATATATGTTTTATATATAAGAGTGCTTACCAAAGTATGCTGAGGGTGGAACTGAATGACAATTCCGTTTATAGAAAACAGGCCAAATGAGTTGATCTTTAACTCTGCATTAAAGACAGTTCTAAAATATTTTACAGCAAACCTACATAGAAGCCACCTGCAAACAGGAAATATTTGCTTTAGATCATTTTAAGCACAAAAGTAAGAATGCAGATCTGTACCTGATCACAACCCATGAGAGGAAGATACCAAACAGAAATAAAAGAGGTAAAGTTGTTAGCAGAAGAGACATCATGTGCAGGATAAGGTGGTCATGCTCCTCTATCTTCTACCAGCTGCTGTCACACTGAAGGCTGCTGCTGAAAACAAGCCCACTTTAGAACAAGCCACTTGTCAATAATACGTTTTTACAACAACACTGGCTATTAATTTCTAATTTTAAAGCAATGCAATGTTATTTTAAATACATCCGAAATAAAATAACAAGACACTAATGCTAAAGTTGCAATTATGGAAGGATACAAGGCTAGCTGAACAGTTAGCAACCCGGAAAAAGCAACATAATTTCCCGAATATAGTCGCGTCACATGTTGACAATCAAACACATGTTCTTCTGTGTGAACAGCGGTTCAACCCCATCAGTTTCGCACATTAAATGGTTAAAACATTTGCAAACGCGTCACCTTAGAACCTGAAGCCACTCTGTGTTGGCAACTGTATGCTAATGCTAATGCTAATGACCAAGCCCAGCTAGCACAACTGCATTGATACATTTAGCTGATTCTCGTCGTGTAAAATTGTATGGTTATAAACGCAGCTGAAATGAACCCACCTGGGACGTCAAATAACATCACTTTTCTCACTGAACAAGACTCATGTGACAGATTATGAAGTCTGCAGACAGAGCTTCTGTGCTTCCTCTGCTGTGGCACCTCCTCTCTTTAGCACCCGTCTACAACGGTGCACAGTGTGACAGAACAGGGTTCTCTCCAATTAGGATTGTAATTATTACACATAGCCCAAACACACAAGCACACACACAATTGTTAACACAATGAAAGTTTATTTAACCATGGCCGTATAATTACATTAGGAAATAATAACATAATAATGCACCATTTGTCAGCGTTTACATTCAAGAAGATAAGCAGAAATTATGTCAGTTGTAATACCTTTCCAGCCTGGTGAAAAGATCTAATAACAGGTATACAAAAATACTTTAGTGCAAGTTTGTTAATGCAGTGTTTTCTCAAGCTGCAGCCTTCTGCCTGTTATGTTTGGCAAACCACTCTTCACTTTTGTCCGCAGCCATAGCCTATGCAAGAAAAAGGGCATTAAGGAATATGTTTAAGAATTAAGTATATGAGAACGAAAAAAGTGTTTTCTTACTACATTAAGTAATTCATTTCCTTGAGGATCCACCATAGACAGTTCCCTAAAAGCTTCATCTCCAACAAAGCAAATCTCATGGTTATCCTGTTGAGAAATTAATAATCCATACTATTTTCCTTTTAAAATACATTGATGACATAATACATTATATTATGTACCGGATCAGACAAAATAACTACTTCCACTGTGGCTTTTCCAGGTGTGTCAAGACTGACCAAAGGTGTAAGAATCTTTTGATTTTCTTTTTTCATCAGAGCTTCGAGGTCTGGCAACTAAGTAGGTTTACAGAGCACACACATACAATTAAAATGAATCGACATGGTAATGTCAATTGTTGTTTCTTTTACCTGATTTCTTGGGCAAGAAAAGGCAACTCTTCCAAATGCCGTTCCGTGATCTACAGGCCCACTGATATCATGAAGCTCCAGCTTACACTGACAAAAACACAAGAATTATAGTAACGTACATACATTTAAGGACATTAAATAACTATGTACTCAACAGATTTGTCCACTTACTTGTGTATCTGCATATCCCATTAAAGTGGTTTTCTTCTGCTCATTTCTATCCATAACAGTCATTCCCAGAAGTGTAGACCAATAGTGGATAGATTTCTGCAGATCCGACACAGCCAGACAAACCTTCTGAACTGGGTCTTTCAAGTAAACATGAGTATCATTATAAAATTATAAAATTTATATATATATATATATGTTCAATTGGGAATAAGAATCACGAGTCACTGACCACCAAGAGGTTGATCTTTATCAACCAGATAGAAAGGATAACCTCCTGGAGCATGGGTCAGATAAAGATCCTCTTCCAACTTGGTCAGAGGCCAACCCAGATGTTTAGCATTGCTGACAGCTTTACTTGACTGTATAGTAAGTCCCTGTAATTTGTAACGAAAATATAATGTCAGACGTTATTGGGGACAAGATAAAGTGAGTTACTTACCATAAAATCATTGCCTAGTCGGTACTCTCCTACTCCATAATTGTAGGTCAGTTCAGCAACAAAATGTTCATCTTCTGGTCCAAAGCCAACCATTGTCTTACTCCACTTTCCATCATATGGGCTGCATTAAAAAGTATTGTTTTCACAGCTCATTTGCGCAAAGAACAAAGTCCAGCTGAAGGCCAGTTTATATACGTACCCATTACATGTGGCTTTGCAGCCTTCTTCAAACTCTTCATGCCTGAGGATCTGTTATACATTGTGATTATAGAAACAAGAATTAGCAGGGTAAACAGTACAGTAGCCTCATGCTAGCATTTAGTTGTCATAATTTCTGTTTGCCGAGTTAATAGCCACCTTCATTCCAAGAACATCTCGATAAAAAGTGGCTGTTTTGGTCCTGTCGCCAACTTTGAAAACAAAATGTAAAGCTCTTCTCAAAGCCATGTCTGAAAACTGCTGCTTTTCTGAGGAGTCCAGCTCTTTGCGTAATACTCGACTATCCTGCCTGAATCGACAATTGTATTCGGTTATCATTGAAAAAAAAAAAAAAACACAACAAAAAAAACCACATTCATTCCTTAATCTGTCGAGTGGAGCAAGTGTGACTTGTGTGTGACAAGAGATACTGCATTCAAACACAATAAAGAAAACAAAAACGAGATGTGTTGTTGTCAACACACGATGGCAGTGTGGGTGCAGTGTACATGTGATTATGAGACGAAGCACAGACAACTATGGCGTCCTACTTGAGACGCGTGTGTCTGTTTTCATTTGAGATTAAAGCTGTATTACTGGGAGTAAACAGCAGTAGACCCTTTGTGGAGAGTAAACGGTATGTGCGCGGACTGCGGAGGAAGCCTGTCAGCGTGTCCTTCCCAGAAGATGGCACTTATAAAGTCAAGAGACAAACTGCCCCCAGTCAGATGACGATGAAGCTAGAGCAGATGCCCAGACCCGTAGAGGGCACAAGGAACAAACAAGAAAAGGATCTCAACCAAAAGAGCGCACATATTGCCGAAAAACAATGTGCAAAACCTGCGCACAAACCGAGTACAGAAGATGAAGTCGCAGGTCTTCGTTTTGAGCGGGCTTTCCCTGGAGACAAGAGACTCTCGTGAGTTTGACTCTGCACATACATGCACCATTTTGGCTTCCAATCGAAGGCTAAGTATCTTAACGTCTTGAATTTGATTTAGAACTACTAAACATAGTGATCTCAGAAAGGAGTCAGGGTCGCTACTTTAGTATTCTAAACATTACAGCTGCTTAACTTGAGCTTTTATCATAGATGTATTGTTTTTTTTTTAATCCGTCCCATTGTTTTGTAACATTTATACTATTGTGTGACTGAAACAGGCTGTAGTACCAACCTTTGAAACCTCAAAGCATAACCAATACAATTTAACTTATTCCTAGCTCTACTGTTTGGTTCTATCACTAGTTTTCACACAGCTTTTTCAGTGAAGATGACCAGACGCCACCCGGCCAATCAGCTCTCAGTCTGTAAAAGTTTTCTTATAAGACAAAGATAACATGTGAAGATCTCTCCTCCCTAACAAATTGTTTACCAATTGGGACAAACTGTATTTAATCATCAATCAAAAAAGTTAGTTTAAAGTTCTGATTATTCTTGCTTTTGGTACACTGAATTGTTATGGAGTTTTCTACTGGTGTTCTTCCTTCTGTTCACAGGAGGGTAGTGAGTGTGGCTCGTTCCAGGAGATTCAGAGAGAGTCAGGGGAAGATCTTGCTGGAGGGCAGGCGGTTGATCATCGATGCCCTTAATGCTGGAGCAAACCCTCAGATGGTCTTCTTCAGTTCAACGGATCGACTTTTGGAGCTCCCCTTGGACAAGTTGAAACGCGCCAGTCTCGTCAAAGTAAAGTTTGGGGACATCAAACTTTGGTCTGATCTGGTGGCCCCACAAGGCGTAATAGGTAGTTCTGTTTTACAACATTTTATAAAACCGTTTGACTTCCTTAACTAACGATGTAAATTTTGTGAAATCTCAGCAATATTTTCCCGTCCAGATGCATCAAAATTAAATTACAACAACAGTAATGATTCAATACCATTGTCTGTGATATGTGATAATATTCGTGACCCTGGGAATCTTGGGACTATATTACGATGTGCTGTTGCGGCTGGTTGTCGCAGTGTCCTCCTTACTAAAGGTATGCATTCTATTAAGATGAAGATTATTTTTACTATCTGCAGTGTTGTCACAATAATAAAATGTCTGTTTAGTTTATCATTGTGGTATCAAAATGTATTTTTGTGAACAATGAGCTGCATCGCTAAAATACAAAATAATGCTGGAAACATAATAAAAATTTTTTTTTCCATGAACAGATTTACTGAAATTAGTATTGAAACTAATTTGAGAATCAATTTAATATCTATCTTCATCTACAGGTTGCGTTGATGCCTGGGAACCTAAAGTATTACGTGCTGCAATGGGCGCCCATTTTCGCCTTCCTATTTACACCAACCTGGAGTGGGGGGAGATAATAAATCATCTGCCTGAATCTGTGTCTGTGCATGTGGCAGACAACAGTGGGACCAGATTGATGGAAAGTGCAGAACAAGACTTTGATGAACCGACAAGATCCCAGAAAGCAGGAGAATATGGCTGGGTCAGAACACAGTCCCACCTCAAACAAGTGGACTATGAGGTCTCTGGTTCGGACAGTGAAGATGAGCATTATCCCAGACTGGACACAAAACTGTACCATGAACACTGGGCTCGGACCTCCACTGCTCTGGTCATCGGAGGAGAAACTCATGGCCTCAGTGTGGAATCGTTGAAGCTCGCAGAAAAGACGGCTGGCCATAGGCTCTTTATTCCTGTGGTTCCTGAGGTGGACAGTTTAAATTCAGCCATGGCAGCCAGTATTCTTCTGTTTGAGGGTAGAAAACAACTTATGCAGCTACGTCAGTCAAAGTCCCAGAATGTCAAGAGACCGCAAAAAATGTTGATTGAATAATGGATAAAAACATTGTGTATAAGGTGATTAATGAATTTGTAAGTAAACATAATATACACATTTGATTATTACCCAGTGTCCTAATTGGTTTTTGCATGTGTCAGCCTGACTGTGTGCAGCTTAAGTAAAGCTTTTTGGCTACAAGTCAAATTTAAACATTAAAAAAGGAGTAAATAAGTTGTTGAATTTTATTAGGTTACATAGATTTGCCTTTACTTCTAGTACTCGTTGTGCTTACCAGTGCATTGAAATGAATGGTCAGGTCAAAAGGGAGACACCAGACGTAACAGAATTTCAAAAATATAAATACATTCCACACCTTCATGTGTTTTGTGCCATCAGTAAACATGATTCAAGATGATCACCATCAGACTAAGTCCCATTGACTGAGAATGTGCACCACAATAATCTTACATTCTGTTTTGAACATACAAATACAAAAATGATTGAAAGCTTCAGTCATAAGTCATTAAAACGCAAGCACAATGGGTTTAAAATAGGGCCCTGAAGCTGCACAGCTACATCGAGCTGAGGTTTAGTGAAATGTGTGACAAACGGGCAACAGAGTAAAGGTCCATTAATTCACTTTGATTACTCCATAATTGAGATAAATCTATAACGTGAAAAAAATATTTTCCTCAGACAAATTTCAAACAAAATCTCCATATATTACTGTGAATGTTTTAGCCAATGCAAGGCACCACAGGAGAACAGGACTCCATTAAAGATAATGTCTAAAATGTTAAAATGTCAGTAAAAAACGGGATGTGTCCAACACTGACAACAGGGTGAAAAACGGGAAGGGGTAGACATGGCTGATACAAAGTTTTTGCCACTAGATTGGCTCTGGTTTGAGTTTTTCAGCCAAAAAGTCATTAACAAACTGCTCCACAATGGCTGGTGTAATCTCCTCCACGTCCAGCACGTACTTTGCCCGGGCCGACATGTCCAGGATTGTGAGCAGAGGAGCGGCTTCAGGGAGGTTGGTGTAATCCCGCAAAGAGTCAGTCATGTCGTCCTGCACAAGCAAAAGAAAGTAGAATCAGATTAATGATTAACATTCAGGACATTCTTGAGATTCAGAAACTCTTGCTTGAATGAAATGTTGCAAAAAAACAAAACAATTCTTTCATGGAAAAATAAAATACACAAATACATGTGTTCAAAAGGTGAACATGAAACAATAACACCACAAAATGAATTAGCTCAACCTTCAGTCTAAAATCCTCTAGACACAAGTTCACGCTTTCAGCTAAACCTTTGTTAACCTGTGCCTGAGGCAAAGAGTCCTCACTTTTGAATACAAATCAAACAGATTGTTGCAATATTTCACGTTGTCTGTTGTAAGTCCATGTGGATCTAATGCAATTACAATTCATTCAAAGTCACAAGGTTACGTTTTCTCATCTATTGTGTACAACTCATTTCAATCTATTTTTTTATGGCTAAAACATAAGATAAGATAGACTATTGATTTAACATGGCAATGGTTGACAACTAGAACTGTCCTCGCCAAGTGATAAAGGCTTTGAAAGACAAGTCTAAAGTAAAGAATTCTTTGAGACATTTTACATTCAAATTAATGGACCATAAAAATCCATAAGGTGGCACTGCAACACAATATACAATATACAATGAATGAATCAGTTATTTCTTCTATGTAATTTCATGTCTGTATGAAAAGAGAAAAAAGATTATTGTGAATTATGTTAAAAATCCTAAGGAGGATACACTGTCATTTGTGAATGTGCCACTCAGAGACAAAGGGGTCTCTGAGCTGCAGCCGACTGTGATCAGAGCCGACATGTGTGAACTGGGATTCCTCTGAAAACTGCTCTGTTTCATTTCATAAGGATCATCATGATAAGAATGATGAAACTCCCTTTACGGCTGCCTCATCCATCTTACTTGGTTGCTTTGAAGTGTTTAGCTCACAATCTACATCTTTAACACTGATGTAAGAAAGTGCTTCAGAGCTTTGAAATGTGTGGTGTAAAAAAACAACAAAAACATACAATTATTGGGAAAGGACAACAATTTAGGTGACAAAAAGTCACAACATGTCCACAAGGACCACTACAAAAAAAGATTGTTTTAGTAATTTTAGCAGTAGTTCAAACATCATACACGATTGAGTTTCATGTATATTTTCTTTATCTCAAGATTCAAAACAGCACTTATGTCTCCACCAGAGGGCAGTGGGGCATTGTTTTGTCTATCTGCTTCTTAATATGATTTCATATTTGACATATTAGTCACTTATTTCTGTCATGGGTTTAGTGATACTTCTTACCTCTCCAGCAACAAAGAATAGAAACGGCATCTCCTCCTCCTTGGCTTTGTACTTAGCCATAAGTTTCTCTGCTATTGGCTGGATCAACTCCTTGGCAGGCTCCAACTCTCCATCTTCTTCGGCATCTGAAAAACAATGATAAACTTGTTTTAAGATTGCCACTTTTTACAGTACATAATTGTATCCTGCACAGACTATATTTTTTACCTTTAAAATGTTTGCACACTTCTGTCTTTTGCACAATCTGAGTGATTCTATCTTACGCCCGCTAAAAAGATGGTGGCTAAAAGGTGGAAACTTACCTTCTCGCCGTGATATGTTGACATTGCCTATTTGGAGGTCTCATTTTCTTTTTTTGTAAAGATTGTGATTATTTTGATTTGTTGGCGTCCTGGACCTGTGTGTGTGTGCGCAAACACGTAATAGAATTACTTAGTGTGGATTTCTTCTTTTGTTAAATAAAAAATACACACTTTGTGCTAATAATAATATTTAATAAGTAATTATTTTGAGATATTTATGCATTATTTGAATTGTATTTTGCAACAATAGTGATTAATTTTGCAACATTCGTCGTCTGCAGTTGGTTCAAACATTCGTCGTCTGCAGTTGGTTCAACATTCGTCAGTTGGTTCAATGTTGCCTGCAGTTGGCAACATTCGTCGTCTGCAGTTGGTTCAAAACGCAGCGGCGCGTTTGCTCACAGGAACAAGGAAACGTGAGCACATAACTCCTGTGTTGGCCTCTCTGCACTGGCTTCCAGTCAGTTTTAGGATTCAATTCAAGATACTGTTGATGGTTTTTAAATGCTTGAATGGGTTGGCTCCATCCTACCTTTCGGAGCTTTTGTTGACCCGTGATCCAGGTCGTACATTGAGATCCTCCAACCAAATGACTCTGGAGGTGCCAAAAGCGAAGCGTAAAACCAGAGGAGACCGGGCTTTTGCCGTAGCGGCTCCGAGACTCTGGAACAGCCTTCCGCGGAATGTCAAAATGGCCCAGTCCATTCATGTTTTTAAGTCGTTGTTGAAAACCCATTTTTTTGCTTTGGCCTTCAACACAAGCTGAGCAGATCCCATGTATTTTATTATTATTGTCTCATGTTGTATATTTTGTGACTGTTTTACTCTTCATTTGTATTTACTCTTCAATTGTATTTTATAATGTTTGTTGTACAGCACTTTGGGCGGTTGTGGCTGTTTTAAGTGTGCTATATAAATAAATAAATTGACATTGACATTGACATTGACATTGACATTGACATTAATATCTTGAGAAAATACAATACTTATATACAAGCTTTCACTGGAGCTTTCACGAAATGCAATGTCTACTCACCCACAAACAACACAAGACAGGGCCCCTCGTGAAGCTGCACCGCATTGGACTCGCTGAGCTCCAGGACGGGCCGAGGGTGCCAAGGGAACAGGCGGCACTCCGGATCGTTTAAAACCTCCACTCGGCCCTGTCGTGTGATCATGTGACCTTCTGTGTCCAATAGGATCAGGGTGGGGATACCTGAAGGCAGAACAAAAGGTCGAGGGTAGAAATGAATGTGTGGACAGCGATTGAGGTCATTTCCTATCATTAGAATGTGACGCAGACTGCTCTCAAGCTCCTGCTGAGACTGGCATTTTAGACTTGTGTGTCATTCTCCAGTTAATGTCAATAAAACTACTCTTTTCACACTTAATGGCCATACAAACTATTCCCCTATTAACAGGCTTATAACAAACACAACATCTGCACAGAGCATGAGTCACCGGGACCTGTCTGGTCATGTGGGCAGTGGGCAGGGAGCATCCTGGACAGGGCAGTGGATCTGTTCTCTGTGGATTCCTTCCTTACATTCAGCAGAGGAGTGGCCCCAAATACTGCCAGCTTCATCCAAACAGTAGGTGAATGGGAAAGGGCACAGTGAGGGAGGAGTAGCACGTCTCTGTCGAGCTCTGGATAACATTCCTCTGTTGGCCAGATTCTTATGTCTTATGTAGTTTATCACCACCGTGTATGGAGTGAAAGAATAATGACATGTGAAGCGTCTTTGAGTGTCCAAAAAAAGCGCTATATAAAACCAATGCATTATTATTATTATCATTAAAAAGCTTCACAATCCAATAGACACTCGGACCAACTGTTATTTTAGTTATCCACTGGTCAACTATGCATTGGATTAGTCGACACACATTTTTAAAAAACGCACAGAACTAATACAGGTTGAAATAAAATGGCGGAAAACTCTTAGATAGAGATGTATAAATTCATAATAATGATGGACCTTTGAATTCTTTATTCTATTCTGATTTGTTGTATTATAATGCTACCATCTTGGCCAATTGAATACATGTTGTAATACCTATCTGTGATTTTAGTACAGGGGCACTACTTTCAGTCCCTTCACTATTGAAAGCCAAAGTGAGGATAACGGTACTAACATGAAAAAGCTGAATGGGTGCATTTCTTCCTAAAAAGGGAGTTGATTTTATGTTTAATGTTCCGAAGTCGGGGGTTCTCCATCTTTTTAGTGAGGGACCCCCACTGATGAATAACATTTAAAGCAGTAATTAAGTGTCAACCCATCCATTGCTTGTTCAAATCATATATCGTGTTACCTGATTATATTTAGACCATAATGTTTGTATATAATAATTTGAGAAATTGTATACACAATTTTTGAATTCGCACTTGTCTCACTTTTGCCTAACCAGCCAGAAATGCACAATTTAACATTTTCTTTCTTTTTATTTTTATTTTTTATGTGCTCTGCATTTGAACATGTGTGTAAGAATGTAGGATGGCAAGTGAAATTGCTCGTGACTAGTGAAATGGGCGAAGTACCTTGTATTCCGTAAAGTCTATTGAGCCGTGATCGCCTGGCCTCATCCGAGTATGGCACCGCGAGCCAAGGCATCTCACTGAAGTATTGCTGAAAAGACTCCTCTGACCTGGAAGATTTAGAAAGAAGAGATATTATACATTATTTTTTCCCTTTAATTTATTTACTTTGTCATGTTTTAGAAAGTGAATATATGGAGTAGAAAATATATGGTGAAACAAGTATGAAGGGTAAAAAAAATCTTTCTACTGTAACTCCCTATGCTACGATGAATGAATGAGATGAATGGTTTTGTTTTTTCCAAATCTGAAAATTACTGGTTGCAAACGCCAGTAATTTCAAAGAACGTCATTTCAACAGGGAAATTACCAAAACTAATTTGTGTTTCTTATAAAATGGCCGAAAACTGCTCTGAGTGACTAACGAGAAACAATGTTAGAACATAAATGTAGAAAATTCATTCTGTCTTCTTATGTTTATGGCTTTTAGGTTCTTCTAATAAGACAATTGTCTTATTAGAAGAACCTAAAAGCCAATGTTAGAACATGGGGAAAAGAGAGAAAGACGCTTCTAAGACAGATTTTAAGTTATTTGTAGGAATTAAAACCAATTATACTGTATTTTAGTGAAAGCACATACCTGTCAGCACTGACGAAAACAATCTCAAATTTCTTTCCAGACTCTTTGATAATTCTGTACGATTCAACCAAAACCCGAGTCAGACCACGACATGGTGGACACTGGCAAAACAAGAAAAAGCCTATTACTCTTAAGAAGAAAATATGTCTTTATTATATTTGATAATATTTAAGTAAAGTAAAGAGTTCATTAGAAATTCAGATATTTTTCCCCACACATTCACACACTTACAAAATAAATAATGAATAATAAACAACGACAATGTCCGCCACTGTTCACGTTTGTGTAATGTTAAATACGTTTTTTCTCGGTCACTTGACACGTACAGTGCATTATTTGTAATATGCGTTCACTGTTATGTGTTGATGAGGAGTGTATTCAACCGACTCAGTCATGCTTACATACTTATCATACCAACGCGTGGGAAACTAAAACAATAATGCTGTAGTTCATTTGCATTTATTTCACTTTTGCTAAATAAAAACATCTGCCGAGCTGCTCTTGCAACCACATTATTTTGGGTCCATTTTTTGACACTTGGGCTGTAATCAGGTCTGCTTACAAAACACTCCAAATATAGGTCATGTCTTTTGTCTGTGAGCCATTTAACTGACACACACTGCTTGCTGTTTACATGCATACCAACACCAGATGCTGAAACTCAACATCTGCTGTTATGACTTCAACTATAGATAAGTTTGGGCTAGAAGTCCAAACTCAAAAAAATTGTATGCTGGGTTGGAACTGGCAGAAAAGATAACAAGTAAGATTTACCAAATTGTGGGTTTCATTCCTTTGTATGTATAGTTTGATATGTGTGAGACACTTGTTGTTGATGAGATCTGACTTTGTGTCGATTTGTGCTAAAAGTTAAAGAAAATTTGCTGCATGAGGCTAAACAAACTCGATGAGGATAGTGTTGTAATATTGGTTAAAAACTCAAAAAAGAAACAAATATTGTGTGTCAATAAGCCTTATTGAAACCATTTGCTTGAGAGATTTTTCTTCTAGCAGCACTGTTTTTAATTGTTCTTAGATGAAGTGTTTTGAGTGCATAAGTTGGGAACCATGACCTTGTACGTACCCAATGAGCTGAGAAGTACACGCCCACATAGTGCCCCTCCAGAGAGCTGCTGTCTGCGGTCTGCCTGTCGTTCCTGAGCAGAGGCCCTGCCACCACCTCTGCAAATGGCTTCGGCCCCCAGGGAAACTCTAAGCCTAAGCAAGAGGTTCACAATATTCAGGCAACGAGTAAACAGAAATGGACAGAGAGCCTGCGATTCAAAACCTTTTCACTCACACTCCAGTGTGAGTGAAAAGGGGTAGTCCGAAATAAAACCTATTAGTACTGCTGCAAAATGGCCCCTTTTAGTTGAGCTCGTCCAGAGAATCATTATGGAGCAGTGACACGTTAGTACAGAGGATTGTAAAAACGCACTTATCTTTTGCGCTGTGGGCGAGTTCGGACGCCACTCCACACAGCCTTTTCATTGAAGCAGGCGGCCTTGAGTGTTTCAGCTGCTTTGCTTTGGCTTTGTTCAAATGCATTTTTTTTTGCTCTTTAACTGTGGCTGGTTGGAGTCCAGGAAGACAGCGAGCACAGATCGATTTATACACAATATTCAATATGAAAACGAATCCCAGGTGTGTGAGGAAAGAGCCACTACCGCTATGCCACTTATACAATAAAAATATTGTGAAAAAGTAAAACCGTATCGCTGATTTTCAAGCTCATTTTTTGCATCTGTGGTAATCTTATTTCATATCTTTTACCAAAGAAGTTTTGGATATCATTTTCAGACAGATTTTCTCTGAACAAGTTTGGACTGAACAAACACTGGACCAAAGGTAAAGAAGGTCTTTTTACTTTAAACATTACTGATTGTATTTTTTGTTTTTAGAATTAATTGAGAAAAAGATGTATAACATGCAACACAGGGAAAATATGGGCTACAAACGGAAGCCCATATTTTCCTCTTACCATAAATGCCTGCAAGTTAGTAAAGTTGAAGAGCCAATAAATATGTTCAACAAATATTCTAGTATACTGTTTATACTATACATACTGTATGTACATGTAAAAAAGTATAGTCAGAAAAGACACAGCTCATGCGTGACATTCTTCTGTGAAATCTGTGCCAGAGATCTATAAAAATCACAATCTGTTCTTACTATTTGAATGTGGAACACTGCAGATAGAAAAGAGGTTTTTGTTTTGCTACCTCTTCTCACTGGAAGGGAAAAGCATGAATGTCTCATCACTGCCTCCACTTCAAAGTTCAGAAATGATTGGTTGTATGAATGAAAGCGAAGCACAGATGCAATGTGAGGCTTGTGGAACTATAATTATCCTATCACAAGTAAATTCCTAATCTTGTTTGTACTGCTGTAAGTATAGCGCCAAATGCAATTGACTGCATAAGGCTTGAGGTTTAACACGTGCGATAAATTGTGGAAAACTTACCTTTCGGATCATCTCTGACCACCAGAAGCCCATTTCGACAAACCACCTTTCCAGTCAGTGCATCCACAAACACCAGAGATGGGATACTCGTTACTTTGTACTTGTTCCAAAGCTTCATCTGCAAAGAGAAAAGAACAGCCATGAAAAATGTCCCAACCTGCTCCATGTGGTTTAATTACATCCCCAATGTATAATTTTCACCTGAAATAATATAGCCCTTAAATTGCAGGTTTGCTTTGGGAGTTTGGTCAAAGACGACAAACCAAGAATCATATTTTTAAAATCTTCACTGTTGGAACCTTCTACCGGTATCGTTTGTAAAGGACACAAAAAAATTAAGGTAAAAAGGGCCTAATAATGCCAAGAATCTGTAATGTAATCCACAAAAACACTCCCGTTCATCTTATTTTAACTCTACAGTTTTTAGAAGTGCAGGAAACTATTCAAGAAAAAAAACTCTGAACCTCAACTAAGCCTGTATTAAAAGAGTCAAAAGGTATTTGAGGTAACGACTGACCAAGGAACATTGAGAGTCAAGTTTCGGGCCCGAAAAGTAGACAACTTCTGGATGGAGTCTAGCATGTTAGAATCAGTACAACTCTAATCTCCCTGTCTGGACCCTAAATGAAGTGCGGAGAACTTTCCTCTGGGCTTAGTGAAGCCAGCCAGGAGTTCAGTTACAAATGAGCTTTGGGTTGATGAAAACCTTTTGTTGCGGGTTTTGTGTTCAATCCGACTCTAGTGGTGAGACTTATAGCCCAAAGACTTGAGTGACATCAGCTCACTTATAATAATAGCCCAATATGCATTATCTAAACTCTTATTTGGGCTACTGTACAAAATGTTCTGAAGACTTTAAGCCCTTTGTTTAAAAAGCATCAGATCATATGACAATGTTTGATAACCAGATGACCTCATATCAAACACTATTAAATGAGAATTAGAGGTTTGTATTACACAATGTTTCATGCTTTATGAAATATATTACAGTATAAAATACAGAATCTAAGTTAGAGGGGGGTTTCAGACATTTTCTTATGCAAAAGACAAATGGAAAGAAACAAAAGTTGTAAATTGCAGTGCACTTTTCCATATAGATCTATCATACAGCAAACATAAAAGTAGACATAACTGGTTAAATATACAATGGAGTCCTAGCCTACAATAACTCTGTTGCAGTGACCTCTGACCGCCTATAGGTCCAGAGGTCCAACAACAGCTGAGGTCAGACTCCTCTAACCAAGACGACATGGAGCCTGCAGAAGTGTGGCTCTGGACCATCGTCAGAAGGAAAACCGCCAGTCAACGGCTTTTCCACACAGCTCTGGAAACTCCATTGCCGCTCACAAATTGATGAGGTTTAAAGCATTAACTGTGACTGTCTGCAAAAATCTGGGAGCAGAAATGCCATAATATCTGACCCAAACAGTAGAAACAGACACCAGTGACCAGATGGAAACTTTACCCCATTTTAATAAAAAGAACCGTCTGATCTTTTTATAAATGAACCACAAGTAGCCACTCACCAGCCCTTTTATTTTACAAAACTTTTTTGGGCATGTACAATATACTTGACAATACGGATACTAAGCTGGGATCTTCTAATGTTGTCAAACTATTTTTTTGAATATGTAACTCCTCCTTATTCTTTGTTCCACCTGCTCTCAAAGAGGTGGTAAAATACAATGTCAGTGTTATCATTTTACAGCAGCATACCATGATGGCGTTTGCAGTGAGATGAGAGAAAATCTAGATAACAAATTGTTGAGGGGAATTTGGTTGTGCGCAACATCCCTTTAGGATAAAAGTGGTGCTGTGATTCCCAGGCAGATCAATAACCATGTAACCACAGCGTACATGTCCTGAAGCCAGTCACAATTAAATTCACTTGAAAGACTGGAATGGCTCGGATTAGGATGTCACTTTGAACTGATACAGGAAGGGTTCAGTTTCACTGCATTGGTTTACCTTTAGGTCCATAGATCATCCTAAGCCAAGCATGTGGACTTTACAGATTTTTTGCACAGCTTCTGTTCACTACACATCTCTCCAGAGAAAGACGACGTACGTATACGAAGTATAGAAATAAGATAAGATCAGATAGTCCTTTATTCGTCCCACAGTGTAGAAATTCCATTGTCATTGATCCCACATTACAGCAGAATAAAAGGAGGAAATAATCACATTCAGATTGAATCAAACAGGATCTATTATTTAAAATAATAGATATCAAAATAAAATACAATAATAGACTAAGATAAAATAAAACTCTGGAGCTGTAATTGCCCTTGGTTCGACGATAGTACTCTAGTGGAGTATACACTATAGTCAGCAGGAGGTATTTACAGATATTTACGAATGAACAAATCACTGCAGAACATAGACAAGATGATTGACAACATGATATCATGAATACTCTTCGGCACAAGTGTGATGCTATATATAAAATAATAATGAATAAATATCTTCAAAAGAACAATACATCTCAACAACAGGTGTGCAAGGGTGAATTAAATAACAATTACACAAACCGTGCATACAGATGTGAGGGAAGTTGAGGCTTAAACCTAATGCCCTGTGATTGTGTTACACACCTCCATAAAATGTCAATACAATTCATAGAAACCCTCAGAGTGGCAGGTCTCAAGGGATGACTGGGAATCCATACCAACAATCCATTACCCCTCAGACATAAGCATTAGCCCCACACTGCTCTTCATGCTAATCGGATCATGCTGCCATCCATAAAAAACTGCTTTTGTAGATGCATCGAAGGAATCCTGTGAAAGCGTTCTGAAATAGTTTACTTCATACTATAAAAACCACAAAATAATTACAGCTGTATTTGTTTATGGAGTGAAATACAAATCAACAAGGTATCATATTTCCCGTTTCCCACTCCAAGAAAAAATAAGACTTATATTAACATATTCTATTGTCTTTTTATTCTAGCCGCAAGTTGAAACACTTTGCTTGTCATTAAAGCTGCACTAACTGACTTTATTTTCGTATTAATTACGAAAATGCTATCCATGTCCATGTAGTGCATTGGGATATACGTCCTTTTGAAGAAAAAGTAGCGCAGATTTGTGCTGGCCTGACATTATATTTTCGATCGAGTTTTGATGAAACAAGAGAATGTGTTTCGGGTCGCAGATTGTGACCAATCACAGCGCACCACTAGCCCCCACTTTCGTGAGAAATCTCCAGGTCCGTTAGCACAGACAGCTGAGTTAGCACAACAAGCGGCGGAGCTAACCTGAAGCTTCCTCGTCTTCGTCACCGGTTACTGCTTACACAGCGAAACAGCCATCCAAAAGAAAGTCCCGTTCCTCCGCGCTTCCCGGTTCTATCGTTCTATGGTCACGCCATCCACGTGAAAATCCATATCCATGTATTATCCATATTGGGAGAGGCTAGCTCCGTCTCAACACTGTGTGTGTGTGTGTGGGGGGCGATAGCTTCGTGGGTGCGGGGAGGGGAGCAGAAAGAGCGAGGCCAGCGGGTCCGCGGCTTCAAAATCCCAAAGTCAGTTAGTGCAGCTTCAACATAGATACATGGAAAGATCAATGCAGAACACAAATCCAATTCTCTACACAAGGAGCGTGGTCACTTCAACAAATCTTCAACCTCATATCCTACCATGTTATTTCTGAACAAAATAACTTGATTTGTCTGTGAAACACAGTGGGAGAGAGGACAAAAGATGGCAAATATGGAAGCCACATTTCAATGGTAAATGTCATGCATGACGAGACCACTTTCATGCTTTGTCGCACCGTTGCACTTTATGGCAACATTTCAGAGTTAAAAGGGGATTATCTTTGGAAGAGAAACCACAAAGCCCGAACTCCTAACCTCTGGATCCACATAAACATCTGCTTCAGCTTTAACGGTGTCCTTTTCAGATCTCGACAGTGCTGACCGGCTGTCAGCAGCAGGAGGATCCACTGTTTGAATGTCATGTTGAGAGTGCTGCACAGGGCAGACTTTTCTTCACTCAGCGTGGCCAATTCAGTCATCATTGTGAGCGTAGTGTCCTCTCACAGATCTGCATTCACTGGACCAGAACAGAGGGAAAGGGCCTGAGGCATCTGCCAAACACTGCTCCTACTTTCTACAGCACTGTCACAACAAAATGGGGCCTTCACAATAAAAAAAACTGTCACTGAGAGCAATTTAACTAGAAGAGCTATAGACAGGAAATATTGTAACAGGTTTGATATCATCTTCCACTCATAATAGACCAATCAAGGCTTAGTCAAGCATTTCAAGCCATGCTTTTCAGATTAGTGGAGTGTTTTCAATTCTGCAGACAAAGCAGAGCAGTGCAAATTAATTTGACTTTTCTATCTTTTATTATAGTTATGAGCTAAACATTTTCTTTTATTAATCCATGCTTTTCTTTTTTTGGAAGAATAACCGCTTACACTGTGCCTCTTCTCAATTCACAGTGGCCCACCTTATGTCAATAAGATAACATAGTGATCAGTATCTCCTCATAGTCATAGATCATTGTGAGTGTGTGAAGCCATTGATAGGAAGTTGTCTCATCAGTTATAAACCAGCCCTGAAGCCCTGCTGAATGAAGAGCATTTGTCTTTGATGAGATTTCTTTATTGACTGTGCCTGAAGGCTGTGTAAACTCTGACCGTAAATAGTAGTGTAGAGACCTGGACTCTGTGCTTTAGTTATTACAAAAACAAAAAAGTCACTATCATTACAAAACAAACATTTTCATAACTACATACATGATCTGAATGGATGTACTGGCATTTCATTTAAAAAAAAGGTCATATAGCCGTTTCTTTTTCTCGAGATGATCATATAGTCCAGTAAGTTGATGAGTTATACAGCCTGAACATCTTCCTTTTAACATACAATCCTCTATTTGATTCTTGGTCCTTGAAGTCAGCATTCCTGTGTTCTCGAGGAGCTCCCTCACAGTTTGTATCCACTTCAAAAAGCCTGTTGCAGCTCTACTGCTATAAAGACCACCATCTCCGGTCTCTCCCTCTGCTCCTCTGCTTGGTGTTACTTATCAGGCCCGGACCCCACTATCGCCTTACCCCTCTGACAGAGCACGGTTGGGGATCCCTGGTGCTGACATATTGGCTT